ACTGACCGCTATACTTACCTATATGCCTCCAGCTTTCATCCAGACCACGTCACACGATCCATCGTCTACAGCCAAGTTCTAAGATACAATCACGTTTGCGCCATTTACTCAGACACAGACAAACACCTACAGGATCTCTATCAAGTGTTCTTAAACCTACAGTACCCACATGGTGAAGTGAAGGAACAGATTGACAGAGCCAGAAGGGTACCAGGAAGTCACCTACTACAAGACAAGCCCAACAAAGAAAGTAACAGAACGCCACTAGCTGTCACCTATAGCCCCCAACTAAAACGTATCCAGCGCATCATCAAGGATCTACAACCTCTCCTGAAGGACAATCCCTCACTCTCACAGACCTTGGGAGACAGGCCAGTCCTTGCTTACAGACAGCCCCCCAACCTGAAGCAGCAAATACTTACCAGCAACCACACACCACACAACAAAAACACTAACCCAAGAACCAATCCCTGCAACAAACTCCGTTGCCAACTCTGTCCGCATATCTATTCAAGGGACACTATCATAGGACCTAACCACATCAGCCACACCATCAAGGGCTCGTTCACCTGCACATCTACCAATGTGATATATGGAGCAATGCCAGTCTTACATGTATATTGGCCAAACCGGACAGTCTCTACACAAAATAATAAATGGACACAAATCAGACATCAAGAATTGTAACATTCAAAAACCAGTAGGAGAGCACTTCAATCTCCCTGGAGATCCAATAACAGATTTAAAAGTGGCAATTCTTCAACAAAAAAACTTCAGAAACAGACTCCAACAAGAAACTACAGAACTGGAATTAATTTGCAAATTGGACACCATCAAATTAGGCCTGAATAAAGACTGGGAGTGGATGGGTCACTACAAAGAGTAATTTTCCCTCTGTTGACACTCACCTTCTTGTCAACTGTTAGGAATGGGCGACATCCACCTTGATTGCATTGGCCTCGTTAGCACTGACCCCCCACTTGGTAAGGCAACTCCCATCTTTCGTGTGCTGTAATATATACACTGCTTACTGTATTTTTCAATCCATACATTTGATGAAGTGGGTTTTAGCCCATGAAAACTTATGCCCAAATAGATTTTAGTCTCTAAGGTTCCACAAGGACTCCTCGTTATTATGAAATGTATGTATTAACACTATATAAGGAATTATAGATACTCATTGATGTTAGGCTGTGCTGACTGCCCAGATAGGAGGAATTGTCACAGCTAATGACATGTCTCATATGTAAATTAAGCATGATAGAATCAAACAATGGAAGCCCCATTTACATAGAAATCATACAGGGGAATGGAAACCTCATAGGAAAGGCTGCAGGGACTCTTTGGCATCTGTCACTAGACAAACACAATAGGCCAGAGTTCTTGCAAGCTGAGAAAGATGGGCCCTTCAGTGTGGGGGGACTTTGTCTCTGGAACTGAATATTGGTGAGAAACACACTTAGACAAAGGTCTTTCACATAAGAAGACAAGGGAAGCTAGCACCTTGTGCTTTTGTGGACAGTCCTGGCTGAGGGACAGTCAGTCATGACTGGGAAGAATGACTAGTGAGAGAAACCATCTTGAACAAGCTTGTATCTTGCTAGATTAAATTTTCATAGAATCATAGAATACCAGGGTTGGAAGGGACCTCAGGAGGTCATCTAGTCCAACCCCCTGCTCAAAGCAGGACCAATCCCCAACTAAATCATCCCAGCCAGGACTTTGTCAAGCCTGACCTTAAAAACTTCTAAGGAAGGAGATTCCACCACCTCCCTAGGTAACGCATTCCAATGTTTCACCACCCTCCTAGTGAAAAAGTTTTTCCTAATATCCAACCTAGACCTCCCCCACTGCAGCTTGAGACCATTACTCCTTGTTCTGTCATCTGCTACCACTAAGAATAGTCTAGATCCATCCTCTTTGGAACCCCTTTTCAGGTAGTTGAAAGCAGCTATCAAATCCCCCCTCATTCTTCTCTTCTGCATACTAAACAATCCCAGTTCCCTCAGCCTCTCCTCATAAGTCATGTGTTCCAGTCCCCTAATCATTTTTTGTTGCCCTCCGCCGGACATTTTCCAATTTTTCCACATCCTTCTTGTAGTGTGGGGCCCAAAATTCCAGATGGGGCCTCACCAATGTTGAATAGAGGGGAACATCACGTCCCTCGATCTGCTGGCAATGCCCCTACTTATACATCCCAAAATGCCATTGGTCTTCTTGGCAACAAAGGCACACTGTTGACTCATATCCAGCTTCTCGTCCACTGTAACCCCTAGGTCCTTTTCTGCAGAACTGGTCCCCATTCGGTCCCTAATCTGTAGCGGTGCATGGGATTCTTCCGTCCTAAGTGCAGGACTCTGCACTTCTCCTTGTTGAACCTCATCAGATTTCTTTTGTCCCAATCCTCTAATTTGTCTAGGGCCCTCTGTATCCTATCCCTACCCTCCAGCGTATCTATTCTCCTCCCAGTTTAGAGTCATCTGCAAACTTGCTGAGGGTGCAACCCACACCATCCTCCAGATCATTTATGAAGATATTAAACAAAACAGGCCCCAGGACCGACCCTTGGGGCACTCCACTTGATACCGGCTGCCCTCTAGACATGGATCACTACCTGTTGAGCCCGACAATCTAGCCAGCTTTCTATCCACCTTATCATCCATTCATCCAGCCCATACTTCTTTAACTTGCTGACAAGAATACTGTGGGAGACCGTGTCAAAAGCTTTGCTAAAGTCAAGGAACAACACGTCCACTGCTTTCCCCTCATCCACAGAGCCAGTTACCTCATCATAGAAGGCAATTAGATTAGTCAGGCATGACTTGCCCTTGGTGAATCCATGCTGACTGTTCCTGATCACTTTCCTCTCCTCTAAGTGCTTCACAATTGATTCCTTGAGGACCTGCTCCATGACTTTTCCAGGGACTGAGGTGAGGCTGATTGGCCTGTAGTACCCCGGATCCTCCTTCTTCCCTTTTTTAAAGATGGGCACTACATTAGCCTTTTTCCAGTCGTCCGGGACCTCCCCCGATTGCCATGAGTTTTCAAAAATAATGGCCGATGGCTCTGCAATCACATCCGCCAACTCCTTTAGCACTCTCGGATGCAGTGCATCCAGCCCCATGGACTTGTTCTCATCCAGCTTTTCTAATTAGTCCCGAACCACGTCTTTCTCCACAGAGGGCTGGTCACCTCCTCCCCATGCTGTGCTGCCCAGTGCAGTAGTCTGGGAGCTGACCTTGTTCGTGAAGACAGAGGCAAAAAAAGCCTTTTTTATTAGCTTTTTCCACATCCTCTGTCACTAGGTTGCCTCCCTCATTCAGTAAGGGGCCCACGCTTTCCTTGACTTTCTTCTTGTTGCTAACATACCTGAAGAAACCCTTCTTGTTACTCTTCACATCTCTTGCTAGCTGCAATTCCAGGTGTGATTTGGCCTTCCTGATTTCACTCCTGCATGCCCGAGCAATATTTTTATACTTTAGAAGTTTTAGACTTCTAGATGTTTGTTCGCTTTTATTTGCTTGTAACCCTTTCTGACTTCATTCCTTTTACTGAGCATCACTTAACCTATGTCCTATTGTTAATGAATTTGGTTTATTTTACTATAAGCCAGCTTAGTGCAGTGTTTAAAGAGAAGGGTGTATTTACCAGTTAAGTTAATAAGCTGTGATGTGTTTTTGTGTCTTTAGAGGGTCAAATGAACCTTATTGTTTCTCTGAGCTGTCCAGGAAAGGGCTGGCCATTTCAGGACACACAGTTTGGGGAAGATTCTGCACTGGGAGTGAGCTGGGGTCACCCTGCTAAGATTGTCCAGATAGGCTCACGCCCTCCGTCTACCTGCCTAGACCTTCAGAAAGGGCTTGTGGTACACCCAGCCCTGGGAGCTCTAGGTGCCTCTGTATGTATGATCAGTAACAGAGCAGACCTGAAGGAGCTGAGCACCTCTGACTGGATGACTCAGACAATACCTCAATCTCATAAGAGTACCTCCTTTGCGTGCTACCAGGATGGTCCATCCCTGGCATGGTGTACTGGTAGAGGGACGTCAGCTAGGGGAGCCAAAATTTCAATGAGCATTTCTTACAGTCACAGTTTACTGAGGGGTTAGCACCTAGTTCCCTAAAAGTTCATGCCTCTGCTCTTAGTCGCTTATGGGCCTCATGTCCAAATTTCTTAGGATAGTCTCTTTCCTCCCTTCAGCCCCACCATCAGGTTTCTGGTGGCACTTTGAGGTTTTAACTTGGTATTCAAAAGTTAAGTGATCCCTCCTTCATACCCTTGTCCTGCTCTGACCTCCAGTTCCTCACACTTAGGAGGTATTTCTGGTGAATAAGGGAACTAGCAACCCTGCCCATCTGATGTTCCACAGCGACAAGTTCATGCTCTGTTCTCCTAGTTTTGTCCCTTCCACTCAAACCAAGGAATTTTCTCTCCCTAGTTCCTGTCCTCACACTAGGAAGAAGAGAATTTGGCATGTTCTCAACCTCAGGTGAGTCTTGAGAATGTACCTAAATGGGTCAGAATGTTTTAGGAAGGAAGAATTCCTCTTCGTTCTATTTGGGGGCTCTAGGAAAGCCCATGACACGCCATCACCAAATGGATCACAACCTGCATCAAAGAGATACATCGGCCACATTTTCAAAATTGGGCACTGAGCCTGGAGCCTGACCTTCATCAGGGCTGAACATGATTCCAGCCAAATGGAACATCTAAAATCAGGCCCTAGCTGGGCATTCAAAAAGGTTGGCCCCATAAATTACCAGCCACTTAAGAAAATTGTGCTTCAGCGATTTCCTGAGGGTGTCACAAGGAGTCCGTGGCAAAGACAAGAACACAATGCAGAGTTCCTCGTTCCATGCCGTGTTCTATGTCCCCTAGACTCCAGCCACGTCCGTTAGAACTACTGTAGTTATATTTGCATAGTCAGAATACCTAAGGGTCACTGTCCTAAAAGCAGTGACTAAAAGCAGCAACACAGGATATGGGAAAAAAGTACTTACAAAGCCCAGTCAACTGCAATGATCAGTGTGATGTCATCCGTGGGCAGGCCAACAGAGGTTAGTACAATGACCATTGTAACGAGCCCTGATTGGGGGATTCCCGCTGCACCTATGCTTGCTGCTGTCGCTGTTATGCTGCAGAAATAGAAAGGCCACAGCACCTCAGTTACTTGGAAGGCTCTTCGTGATTTTGATTGTTTGGCAAGGTAAATGTCACCTCTTTCAATCAGCATTCATCACCCAGCCTCACCCCCTCCCAGGCTTTCACATCACCCTGGTGAACTCCGTTGACTAGCTGGGGAACACTCACTCATAAGCCCCTCAGTATTAAGCCTCAGTGTCCCCCCAACCGACTTATCTGCTTGTCTCAACCAGTGAGCCACCATTGCAGATTACAGAAATATTTTAACATATGTCTGATGTTTCTGTGCACCTAGTGGCTTGTTCCGACCCCTGCAAACTTTTCATATAGCAAAGGCTCCTTGAAAATGTATGTGCAGGCTAGATTTGAAAAAGAATGCTTGTAATTAAGCAAAGTTTTAATACAGATTTTTGTGACAGATAGCTTTAGGCCTAGTCCTGCTTCTACTGAAGTCAACAGGAATTTCTTCCTATTGACTTCAGTGGCAGTGAGAAAGCGAGAGAGAGTGTGTCCATCTGTCCATACATAGGTGACAGCAAACAACGCTTCAGCTGAAGCAGCAGAGGCCTGCATTTGTGGAGCAGAAGGACATGTAATTATGGAGAGGTGACGGCCTCTGTACAGTTAAGGTTGCAATCATGGTCTCATTATAAAGCTGACTCTGAATCCCCCTTGTAAATAAAAGAGAAGTCTCCTCTCTTGCTGTCATGTTTCTCAGGTTGTCCGTTGCTAGCTAGCAGGGCTGGCCTTACCATGAGGTGAACTGAGGCAGCTGCCTCAGGTGCCAGACTGGACGGGGGGTGCCACTAGGACCTAGAGTGTAGAAAATTGTGTCTGCTGCTGGCGCATATGTAGTCTCTCTGCTCCAGATGCACAGAGATGGGGGAGCGCTGTGCTGGAGGAAGGAGGGCACAAGAGTCAGAACAGGCAGGCAGGAGAAAAGGTGAGAGGGAATAACAGAAAGCAGCAGGAGTTGCTGGGAGAGAGAGGAGGAGGAGGAGCCTCTTATGTACCTCTATTCGACACTGGTGAGGCCTCATCTGGAGTACTGTGTGCAGTTTTGGGCCCCACGCTACAAGAAGGATGTGGATAAATTGGAAAGAGTCCAGCGAAGGGCAACAAAAATGATTGGAACACATGACTTATGAGGAGAGGCTGAGGGAACTGGGATTGTTTAGTCTGCAGAAGAGAAGAATGAGGGGGGATTTGATAGCTGCTTTCAACTACCTGAGAGGTGGTTCCAGAGAGGATGGTTCTAGACTATTCTCAGTGGTAGAAGAGGACAGGACAAGAAGTAATGGTCTCAAGTTGCAGTGGGGGAGGTTTAGGTTGGATATTAGGAAAAACTTTTTCACTAGGAGGGTGGTGAAACACTGGAATGCGTTACCTAGGGAGGTGGTGGAATCTCCTTCCTTAGAAGTTTTTAAGGTCAGGCTTGACAAAGCCCTGGCTGGGATGATTTAATTGGGGATTGGTCCTGCTTTGAGCAGGGGGTTGGACTAGATGACCTCTTGAGGTCCCTTCCAACCCTGATATTCTATGATTCTACCTCTATAGCACCTGCAGGAACCTGGACTGATTACACCAGCTTCTCAGGGAGCTTCCTGTTTCCTGCTGCTTCCCTGAACCCATTTGAGGAGAACAGGCAGTCAACTGTAGTAGTAGGAGCCAGTGAGGCCCTTAAGACGCTGATATCTTCCCTCACTCAGGCCCTGCTACCAGCCTGCTTATTTGTCCCCTTCAACTGAGTGTTGAGAACCAGTATAGCTGGCACAGAACTGCAGTCATGAGTGCAAGAAGAAAACGCCCCTCTGGGGCAGCATTCAGAAAAAGAAAGAAAGCAAAGGATGCTCTCCTGAGAAGGAGCTCTGCTGAGATACATAGACACAAATGTTCATGGTGAGCCTTCTGGTCCCAGTGAGGATGTGAGTGGTGATGCCTGATCTTCCAGTTAGTCAGAGTGCAGGTGACCTTGTAGCTATTGCAGCATCCATATCTCCATCTCAAATGGATGTAACCATGCACATTCCTGAAAAAAAGTGTAGCTCAGAGAAGAGTGTGGTGGAGACGCAAGAAACAGCTGCTGCTGAGTTTAGTTCCTTAAATCTAGATGATCCAGGACACTTGAGCAGTAGCCTAAGGGACTTCCTTGTACTGCATTGGCCACAGCAAGTGAAAAACGTCATGTTCCCCAAAGACAATGAAAATAGAAGTTTCCATCCAACACATTACTGGTGTGAAATCCCCAATGGTGACAAAGTGCAGAGGCCACGGCTTATGTACTCAAAAACCCAGAATGCTGCATACTTGTACAACCCCCATCATGCACGCAGCGATACTGGTACAGAGGTACCTTTTACCAGCCTGGCTTATTCCCCTTCCTGAATAGGAATGAACTGTACCAGTATAAGCACTTCTATACCAATATAACTGCATCCAGGCTCGGGGAATTGTACTTCTTTAGGCCTGATCTACACTTACATTTAGGTTGACATAACTATGGTGTTCAGGAGTGTGAAAAAACCCCACCCTTGACCAACACAGCAATGCCAGCAAAACCCCTAGTATAGACACAGCTTCCTTGCACAGCGTTTGTACACCAATAGAGAAACTCCTGTCAGTGCAGGCTGCATCCACATGGGGGGCTATGCCATGGCTATGATGCTCTAGGATCTGTAGAGTTAACATGCCCTTAGAGTATATAGGACCTCAAAGGCACTGCAACAGGTAAAGAAGTAGTGAGATGCTTCTGTGCTTATGATATGCTACCGTCCAAACACATCTACCTTAACATTGGTCATTCTGTTACATGTCTGAGTGGGAAATTTGGTAGCTGTTATGATACGCTGTCCTTAGATCTGGATAGGGAAGAAAGAGAACAGATTTAGTGTAAATAAAGGAAGAAATGTATTTACCTTATAGTTATAATTTGTCCCAAGTCCAAATCGTACTCATTGACCTGAGCAATAAAGATTGCAGCGACTGCCTCGTACAGTGCAGTCCCATCCATATTAATGGTTGCGCCAACAGGGAGAACAAATCGTGCCACCCGTCTGTCTATTCCATTGTTTTCCAGAAGACATTTCAGGGTGATGGGCAGGGTTGCTGAGCTGCATTGCAAAGAAATAACAATTTCCATTGCTGTTGGTGTCATTGAGGCAGTTAATAAGAAGGCTGCTGGAGGCACAAGGTCACCAGATCTGCTCAGTGAAAATTCTGTACATCAGCTTCCACCTCCCTCTTAAACAATGGTGGAAGGAAAGTATCAGAACTCTTTGTCTCAATTGGGGTGAACAGTGAGGTGGCAAAGTTTGCAGACAACACAAAAGCTGACCACAAAGAGTTACAAAGGGATCTCACCAAACCAAGTGACTGGACAACAAAATGTCAGATGAAATTCAATGTTGATAGATGCAAAGTAATGCACGTTGGAAAACATAATCCTAACTATACATATAAAATGATGGGGTCTAAATTAGCTGTTACCCCTCAAGAAAGAGATCTTGCAGTAGTGGATAGTTCTCTGAAAACATCCACTCAGTGTGCAGTGGCAGTCAAAAAAAGTGAACAATGTTAAAAATCATTAGGAAAGGGATAGATAGAAAATATCATATTGCCTCTCTATAAATCCACAGTACCATCCCCATTTTGAATACTGTGGTTCTAGGGTGGTTCTAAAAACCCTTAGCACTGACTGAACATGCAGAAAGAGCAAGGCTTCCTTTAAATTTCTTACCACGCTGACTTATTCTCCCCCACACTGCTCAAACCAGGCAATGGCTCTAATTTTCATGGAGAACACGGCCCAAGCCACATCTAAAGTTTCAAACTTCAGCTGTTTTTTTGCTGTAGCTTCATTCAAAGGACAGTTTTTGGAGAGGGGGAGGGGTTTAAACAATGGGTAAGTATCATAACTCTCCCATAGTTCAAATAGAATCATAGACTATCAGGATTGGAAGGGACCTCAGGAGGTTATCTAGTCCAACCCCCTTCTCAAAGTAGGACCAATCCCCAACTAGCTGGAAGGAGTTTGCTAAAGTATTTCCCTTGCAAGAATAGCACTTGAGGGACCAGTGATTAGTACATTACTCAGCAAACCCTTGTGTTAAACCAAGGATGAAAACATTTATACACACCCTAGACTTGAATAATGAAACCAGCTTCCCTCTCAGCTGGAACAATGGAATGTCTGTGACGAATGATGACCAGACCCACTTTGTCATACCTGGATGATGTCGCGAGGGCGATCAGCAGGGCTTGCAGTATTCCCTGGATGAAAGCGAAGGGGTTTTTCCTGGTAATGAGTGCAAAAAGCAAAGGCAAGAGGATAAGTCCATGGATGACTAGCCCTGTCACCACCGTTATGGCATAGAGTCCCAATTTCTTTCCAATCACAGCTGGATCCTCCATTTCCAAAATCTTCCCAGCAATGAGAAACACAATGCCAAATGGGAAGTACCTACAATAAGAATAGTAAAAATTTGCTCATTGGGATAGGAACATAGAAAATGTCATAACAGAAAAGACCATCCTGTCCTGCTAGAGCAGTGGAGGGCAACCTGCATGCGGCCCATCAGCGTAACCGCTGGCAGGCCCCCGGACAGTTCATTTATATTTGCACGGCCACCTGCAGCTCCCAGTGGCTGTGGTTCGCCATTCCTGGCCAATGGGGCTGTGGGAAGCGGTGCGGGCTGCAGGGCCGTGCTGGCCACCGCTTCCCGCAGGTCCCATTGGCCAGGAATGGCGAACCATGGCCACTGGGAGCTGTGGGTGGCTGTGCAAATGTAAACATTCTGATGGCCTGCCAGCGATTACCCTGACAGGCTGTGTGTGGCCTGCGGGCCGCCGGTTGCCTACCCCTGTGCTAGAGTGTCTCCAGGTGTGGCCAAATGTTGTATAAACCAGAGAAAGGTATAAAATTCCACATGATGAATCCAACCGACTGCACAATGTTACGCTATGTGGTGAGATGGGATATTAGATGGGGAGGGCTCTGGGTTACTACAGAGAATTCTTTCCCAGGTGTCTGGCTGGTGGGTCTTGTCCATATGCTCAGGGTCCATATTTGGGGTCATGAAGGAATTTTCCCTCCCATCAGATTGGCAGAGACCCTGAGCATTTTTCTCCTTCATGTGCAGCATGGGGCACAGGTCGCTTGCAGGTTAAAACTAGTATAAATGGTGGATTCTCTGTAACTTGAAGTCTTTAAACTGTGCTTTGAGGACTTCAGGACTCAGCCAGAGGTTAAGGGTCTATTTCAGGAGTGGGTGGGTGAGGTTCTGTTGCCTGTGATGTGCAGGAGGTCAGACTATATGATCACGATGGTTCCTTCTGACTAAAGTCTGTGAGAGCTCCTCTTGACCCAAGCTCATTAACCTTTTATATCCTGAAGTATGAGAATTAGTTCTTATTTTTTCCTAGCTAATGTAACTGCTGAGGCTCTTCTTACTACAGAGAACCAGTAGCCTCATCTCTTTAGTTAATCTTGAAACAAACCTTCTATTGCTGGAAGCCAGATTTCCATCTCCTTTTTCTCTCTTCACCCAACTTTACCAAACTGAAACAAGTCCCTTGAAACTTCCCGGGGTGATATTTTACCAGAGTAGAGTTTTTCAGAAGAGTTTGAGGCAAAGTGGACAAGGCATTTGGGAGCTGTGGCTTTAAAATATATTCCAAAGAGTCTGGACAACATTCCAAACAGACTATGCTGACAGCTTGTACCACAGGCTCTCAAAGAAACTGTGGAACCACCTGATCAAAATCCTCTACAGCAAACTGGGAAAGATTAAGAATGAGCTCTCAAAACTGGATGCTCTCATAAAAAACCAACCTTCCACACAAACTTCCTCGTGGCTGGACTTTACAAAAACTAGACAAGCCATTTACAACACACACTTTGCTTCTCTACAAAAGAAAAAGGACACTAAACTATCTAAACTACTACATGCCTCAAGGGGCCACAACAGTGGTTCCCTTAACCCACCCAGCAATATTGTTAATCTATCCAACTATACTCTTAGCCCAGCAGAAGAATCTGTCCTATCTCAGGGCCTCTCCTTCTGCCCCTCCACCCCCACGAACATGATACAGTTCTGTGGTGACCTAGAATCCTATTTTCGGCATCTCCGACTCAAGGAATATTTCCAACAGACTTCTGAACAACATACTAACCCACAGAGACCTTCCTACCAAAACTGCAAAAAGAAGGATTCTAGGTGGACTCCTCCTGAAGGTCGAAACAACAGACTGGACTTCTACATAGAATGCTTCCGCCGACATGCACGGGCTGAAATTGTGGAAAAGCAGCCTCACTTGCCTCATAACTTCAGCCGTGCAGAACACAATGCCATCCACGGCCTCAGAAACAACTCTGACATCATAATCAAAAAGGCTGACAAAGGACGTGCTGTCGTCATCATGAATAGGTTGGAATATGAACAAGAGGCTGCTAGGCAGCTCTCCAACACCACTTTCTACAAGCCATTACCCTCTGATCCCACTGAGGGCTACCAAAAGAAACTACACCATTTGCTCAAGAAACTCCCTGAAAAAGCACAAGAACAAATCCGCTCAGACACACCCCTGGGACCCTGACCAGGGCTATTCTATCTGCTACCCAAGATCCATAAACCTGGAAATCCTGGGCGCCCCGTCATCTCAGGCATTGGCACCCTGACAGCAGGATTGTCTGGCTATGTAGACTCCCTCCTCAGGCCCTGCACTACCAGCACTCCCAGCTATCTTCGAGATACCACTGACTTCCTGAGGAAACTACAATCCATCGGTGATCTTCCTGAAAACACCATCCTGGCCACTATGGATGTAGAAGCCCTCTACACCAACATTCCGCACAAAGATGGACTACAAGCCGTCAGGAACAGTATCCCCAACAATGTCACAGCAAACCTGGTGGCTGAACTTTGTGACTTTGTCCTCACCCATAACTATTTCACATTTGCGGACAATGTATACCTTCAAATCAGCGGCACTGCTATGGGTACCCGCATGGCCCTACAGTATGCCAACATTTTTATGGCTGGCTTAGCACAATGCTTCCTCAGCTCTCGTCCCCTAAAGCCCCTACTCTACTTGTGCTATATTGATGACATCTTCATCATCTGGACCCATGGAAAAGAAGCCCTTGAGGAATTCCACCATGGTTTCAACAATTTCCATCCCGCCATCAACGTCAGCCTGGACCAGTCCACACAAGAGATCTACTTCCTGGACACTACAGTGCTAATAAGCGATGGTCACATAAACACCACCCTATACTGGAAACCTACTGACCGCTATGCTTACCTACATGCCTCCAGCTTTCATCCAGACCACACCACACGATCCATCGTCTACAGCCAAGCTCTACGATACAACCGCATTTGCTCCATCCCCTCAGACAGAGACAAACACCTACAAGAACTCTATTGAGCATTTTTACAACTACAATACCCACCTGCTGAAGTGAAAAAACAGATTGACAGAGCCAGAAGAGTACCCAGAAGTTACCTACTACAGGACAGGCCCAACAAAGAAAATAACAGAACACCACTAGCCATCACCTTCAGCCCCCGACTAAAACCTCTCCAACGCATCATCAAGGATCTACAACCTGTTTTGAAGGACAACCCATCACTCTCACAGATCTTGGGAGACAGGCCAGTCCTTGCTTACCAACAGCCCCCCAACCTGAAGCAAATACTCACCAGCAACCACACACCACACAACAGAACCACTAACCCAGGAACCTATCCTTGCAACAAAGCCCATTGCCAACTGTGTCCACATATCTATTCAGGGGACACCATCATAGGGCCTGATCACATCAGCCACACTATCAGAGGCTCGTTCACCTGCACATCTACCAATGTGATATATGCCATCATGTGCCAGCAATGCCCCTCTGCCATGTACATTGGTCAAACTGGACAGTCTCTACGTAAAAGAATAAATGGACACAATTCAGATGTGAAGAATTATAACATTCAAAAACCAGTTGGAGAACACTTCAATCTCTCTGGTCACTCGATTACAGACCTAAAAGTGGCAATTCTTCGACAAAAAACTTCAAAAACAGACTCCAACGAGAGACTGCTGAATTGGAATTAATTTGCAAACTGGATACAATTAACTTAGGCTTGAATAAAGACTGGGAGTGTATGGGTCATTACACAAAGTAAAACTATTTCCCCATGTTTATTCTCCTCCTCCCCCCCTCCCCTCACTGTTCCTCAGACGTTCTTGTCAACTGCTGGAAATGGCCCACCTTGATTATCACTGCAAAAGGTTCCCCCTCCCTCCCCCCCACCCCCGTTCTCCTGCTGGTAATAGCTCACCTTACCTGATCACTCTGGTTACAGTGTGTATGGTAACACCCATTGTTTCATGTTCTCTGTGTATATAAATCTCCCCACTGTATTTTCCACTGAATGCATCCGATGAAGTGAGCTGTAGTTCACGAAAGCTTATGCTCAAATAAATTTGTTAGTCTCTAAGGTGCCACAAGTCCTCCTTTTCTTATTCCAAAAATGATGAGTGTCAAATGCTACAGCTTGTGCAGGCTAGTTTGGGGCTTTGGAATAGGGAAAATTAATTAGTTATTCAATGTCCTTTTGTATATTTATGATGTTTCACAGCATTTTAAACACTGCATGTCAGCACCTGCATGCTTTAGAAAGCATACATCTGCCCAATACAGTTGTTCTAAAACAAGTCCAGTGCTCAAGAGAGAGTTTACAAAGCTATATATCTATATAACATAAACACACAAACCCCTGTGTTCAAAGACCATTAAGATTATGGAGGCTACATCTACACTACAGCCAGGATGGACACTCTGAGATCGATCCACCATCCAAAGACCCACCAAATCAACAGCAGATCGCTCTCCAGTCAACCCCTGTACTCTATCCCCAACGAGATGAGTAAGGTGAGACAAGAGGAGAGTTTCTTCTGTCAACCCCCCGCAGTGTAAACCTTGTGGTAACTCGACCTAAGATACGTCAACTCCAGCTATGTGAACATAGCTGGAGTTGCATAGCGTAAGTCTACTTACTGGGATAGTATAGACATAGCCAAAGTCAAGCACTCAAAAGTTAAGGTAATATCAGAATTAAGGTTGCCTATGCAACTTTAATTTGGCCCCCCTTTGAGCATATTTACTATCAAGCACTCTTTGATTACATGCTTGCATACTACTTCCCCTTCCCCCCCACCCCCCCGACCCCTGTCTCATTCAGCACACAGGGTAGACACTCTGGTTTGCTGAATTCTAGTGCAAGAGCCCACATCAAGGTTTCATCTGAAAGTTTTCTAACCACAGTTAATGTGAACCAGTAACCTAGGCCATGTCTATACTCTTGTCACAGGCTGTGATTGCTTTGACCTAGCTAACTCGCATACTCGTAGCAGGGAAGTTATGGCAGCATGTGGGCTAGCCCCCTGAGTACTTACCCAGGATTCAGGGTGGCTTGTACAGCCCACATTGAACCAAACGCCTGCTACCAGCACTCAAGTGACCTAGATTAAAGCTGGCTCAGGAATGTTGACATGAACTGCCATTGCACCCCCAATAGAAATCAGAATGATTATAAAATGAGAACGATTAACTCTCAGACGTAAGGGTATGAATAGGTCCATTTGATGAGACTTTCCAAGTGCTTTGCTTTTATGTTGACTGCAGAAGAGGGAATATTTTAACATCCTGAACTTACAGTTCCTGAAATTTTTTTCTTTTTTGTAACAATTTAATTGCAACTGGGCTTAACTGGGAGATATGAAAATACCCAAATCAAGTCAATCAGAATTATTTACTTACCAAACCGCCATTGAGACAATCTTCATAACTGCTTCATTCAGACACTGGCACACGTTGACTAAAGGAGTTCCACGCTCACCCATTTTCCCTAGAAGGAGGCCTGCAACCAGACATGTTAACTTGAGTTACTAAACAGCATTGATATGAAACATAGAATCAGAGGATTGGAAGGGACCTCGAGAGTTCATCTAATCCAGTCCCCTGCAATTATGGCAGGACTAATATCCAATCTAAACCTCCGTTGCTGCAATTTAAGTCTATTGTTTCTTGTCCTATCCTCAGAAGTTAAGAACAACAATTTTTCTCCCTTCTCCTTGTAACAACCTTTTATGTACTTGTAAACTTATGTCCCCGCTCAGTCTTCTCTTTTCCAGACTAAACAACCCAGTTTTTTCAATCTTCCCTCATAGGTCATGTTTTCTAGACATTTAATCATTTTGCAAAAAGAAAAGGAGTACTTGTGGCACCTTAGAGACTAACCAATTTATTTGAGCGTGAGCTACAGCTCACTTCATCAGATGTTTACCGTGGAAACTGCAGCAGACTTTAATTAATTAAAGATTAATCATTTTGGTTGCTCTTCTCTGGACTTTCTCCAATTTGTCCACATCCTTCCTGAAATGTGGCATCCAGACCTGGACACAATACTCCAGTTGAGGCCTAATCAGCACAGAGTATAGCGGAAGAATTACTTCTCGTGTCTTGCTTACAACACTCCTGCTAATACATCCCAGAATGATGTTTCCTTTTCTTGCAACAGCGTTACACAGTTGACTCATATTTAGTTTGTGATCTACTATGACCCCCAGATCCCTTTCCACAGTACTCCTTCCTAGGCAGTCATTTCCCATTTTGTATGTGTGCAACTGATTGTTCCTTCCTAAGTGGAATACTTTGCATTTGTCCTTATTGAATTTCATCCTATTTACTTCAGACCATTTCTCCAGTTTGTCCAGATCTTTTTGAATTATAATCATATCCTCCAAAGTACTTGCAGCCCCTCCCAGCTTGGTATCATTTACAAACTTTATAAGTGTACGCTCTATTCCATTATCTAAATCATTGATGAAGATATTGAACAGAATCGGACCCAGAACTGATCCCTGTGGGACCCCATTCATTATGTCCTTCCAGCATGACTGTGAACCACTAATAACTACTCTCTGGGAACGGTTTTCCAACCAGTTATGCACCCACCTTATAGTAGCTCCATCTAGGTTGCATTTCCCTGGTTTGTTTAAGAGAAGCTCATGGAAGACAGTATCAAAAGCCTTACTAAAGTCAGGATATACCACGTCTACCACTTCCCCCATATCCACTAGGCTTGTTACCCTGTCAAAGAAAGCTATCAGGTTGGTTTGACAGGATTTGTGCTTGATAAATCCATGCTGACTCAGAGGTGAAAGTAAGCTGGTATGGTAGAGTACACCGTGCCACACTGGACAGGCTTCCCCGGTGGTGATTTAAAGGGCCCGGGGCTTGAGCCACTATGGGGAGCCCCAGGCCCTTTAAATCACCGCCAGAGCCCTGCCGCCGCTACCCCAGGGCTCCTGCAGGGGGGGTCTGGTGGTGATTTAAAGGGCCAGGGGCTCGGGCTGCTGCTGGGAGCCCCAGGCCCTTTAAAGCGCCACCCAAGCCCACTGCCAGAGCCCCAGGCTAGCAGCAGCAGGCTCTGTCGGTGATTTAAAGGGCCCGGAGATTTAAAGGCCACGCCTCTTCCGGTTGAGGCCATGCCCTCACTCAGGACTCCGGCGTACTGGTAGTCCTTTAAGTTACTTTCACCCCTGTGCTGACTGTTATTTATCACCTTATTATCTTCTAGATTTTGCAAATTGATTCTTAATTATTTGCTCCATTATCTTTCTGGAAGTTAAGCTGACTGTTCTGTAGTTCCCTGGGTTCTCCTTATTTCCCATTTTATAGATGGGCACGAGATTTGCCCTTTTCCATTATTCTGGAATCTCTTCTGTCTTCCATGACTTTTCAAAGATAATTGCTAATGGCTCAGCTATCTCAGTCAGCTCCTTGAGTATTCTAGGATGTATTTCATCACGCCCTGGTGACTTGAAGTTAAGTAATTCTTAACTTGTTCCTTTAACATGCAAAGACCTTCAGTCGCTGGTGGCTGCAATATAGGGTCAATTGACAGACTCCCAAAAGAGCAAATTTCTATTCAAGATAAACATCCTTGCAATTTATATTATATTATTATTATTATTCATGTTTATTACAGTAGGACCTAGGGACCAGTCAAGAACAAGGCCCCAGTGTGCTAAATACTGCACAAACACAGAGTCAAGGACAGTTCCCTACATCAAGGAGCTGGCAATCCAAGGCTATGTCTTTACTGCAAAGTTAGCTCGAGTTATCTATACTCGAGTTACCTCCGCTCCAGTTAGCCTCGCTTGAGGGAGAGTGGACACACTGCAAAATAACACTCAAGCTGCACAGAGTAATTGAATCAGCAGCACAGAGCAGCTGCATCCCCACTGCATTATTTGCTCCAGCATCAGCAGCACTGAAGTGTCATTCCCCTACATACTTCTGGGAATCAGTTTAGGAACAATATTTGAGTTATACCTTGAGCTGCTACTGCAGTGAAGACAAACCCAAAGTAGAAAGTCAAACGCTGGGCAGGGAAGAGGGATATAACAAGCTTTGGACCTCTGTAAAATTTATCTGAATTTATTTAGCCCCATATCCTGACCCCACCCTCCCTGAAGTCATGTTATCTTTCCCTAACACCCTAGGCTTATGATAGACTCATAGACTTTAAGGTCAGAAGGGATCATCGTGATCATCTAGTCCGACCTCCTGCACATTGCAGGCCACAGAACCTCACTCACCCACTCCTGCGATAGATCCCTAACCTCTGGCTGAATGACTGAAGTCCTCAAAGCACAGTTCAAAGACTTCAAGTTACAGAGAAGTCTGATCTGGCCCCTTCTTTTGGGCAGGGAGCTGGTAGGCCTACTTCACCACCACCAAGCAGTAACTTCTAGAGGCAGGTGGACTATTTTTCCTGCTCCTATTTGGTAGTAACAGAATAATCCATTTCCTGTGGCACTGACCCTCCAAAAGTTAGTTTTGTGAGATTAATACAGCCCATAATGCAACAGACTAAACTACCCCTCTTCTTGAATGACAGGGATTGCACCTTATTTCTACTATAGTACTGTATTCACCTAATAGCATGTGACTTTGCCTATTCTTGTTTGATTCCATAATGACAAATCTTACTGTGTTGGTCATAGTCAGGAGTCAAGACTGCTGGGGAAGCCGTAACTCTCAACTTCCTAGCTTTTAACAAAATAAAAGTAGTTCTTCAAGTATCTGCCAACATGGTTCCCATGGCATGTGAGATCAAATTTACTGGGAAGCAGTGTCTGCTAGGGCCACCCTGCACCCTTGATGTCCTTGTGTCCCTCCATCCCCACACAGAGTAAGGCCATCTGACTTTCAGTTTCTTCTTACCGCCTATATGTGAGACAGAATGCCTTCAGTGCCAGCCTGCTTCTCAGTGATCCTACTGCAGTTAGTTGCTGGTGACTGGTTAGTGCAGTTATTAGGTAGTCAGCCCTTTTCGTTTACCCATTGGCTTTACCAACGTTTTTAAAAAAATTTCCTAGATAGCTAGATGGCTTGGAGCCCCCTTGGAGTTGAGCTGTTACAGCAGAAGCTACATCCACAGGTTTAAGACATGCCCCTCCTTCGATGCTTCTATGCCACTCAATGATGGGCGCGCTTAAATGCTTTTCTTGTTTTGGCAAAGGGCATATCCCTGGCTATTGCTCCCTGTGCTGCTCTTTTCCAAGCGACACAGCAGGCTTGGGGTGCCTGCCTCAAGTTATTTTTCTGGAGTGCTCTGTGAAGGCTTCTCCTACATGATGAAGAACGATATATCTAAGGCTCAGGCCTCCATCCAGTCCCTCTCAGCTAGCACCCCAGTGAGATTCCACCCTGAGCACCAAGGCTGAGACACCCAAAAGACCCCAGGTATCAAGTTTGATCCATGTGCCAATTGTCTCAAGAAGGGGTAGCAATGAGCATCACTCCAGAGACGAGAGAGAGAGGTCTCCTTCTCCAGGGCCTTCAGAATCACACAAGAGACTCGTCTCAAGCTCTGCAGCTGAGGGGCAGCTAATGATCTAAGATTCCTTTGGTGCCCTGATACCAGTATGAACAGAGTGCTTGTGGTACCAGCTAAATCCAGTAAGCACCTTTCCTCTGGCTTTCTGGGTACCCAGCCCATCGATACCGTCCTCCTTGGCATCCGTGGCCTGTTGAGCACAGAGTGACGTGTCTGTGGGCCTACTACTGCAGTCACACTTGCTGGCTCATATGACACCAGGAGTGCTAACTAGACCTTTGGCCACCAAATCCATAGCAACACATGTAGCAACTGGGCCATCAGTACTGTCTACACCCCTCGCAGGTAGAAGGAATGCAGAAGCACCCTAGTACACCAGAAAGGGTAGCCCTACACTGGCAGAGGTGTATTCCTTGGTCTTCTCCCTCGGGACATAGTAAAGACTCATCGACTCATCCCCCTTCCCCTCCATGGGCACCACACTGGGAGTAAGGGAGGGCAAGGGGTAGGACTGCTGTGTGTTGAGCATCTATTCAACCTACCCTTTGAAAGATTTCAGAGGAACAGCCGTGTTAGTCTGTATTCGCAAAAAGAAAAGGAGTACTTGTGGCACCTTAGAGACTAACCAATTTATTTGAGCATGAGCTTTCGTGAGCTACAGCTCACTTCATCAGATGTGATGTGATCATCTGATGAAGTGAGCTGTAGCTCACGAAAGCTCATGCTCAAATAAACTGGTTAGTCTCTAAGGTGCCACAAGTACTCCTTTCCTTTGAAAGATGGCCCAGGAGGATCTAAATATTTATTATAGTTGCTTTAATTCATAAGTTACACTGAGCCATTGACGTGAAACTCCAGAGAACCCCTAGATAAGCCACAGAGGAGTAGGAAATTATAGTCAGTATGGGCTTAACTGAGATCCTTCCACTCAGCCCAGAGTAAGGGTTGGCATGTAACAGTGGCACTTTCTGTTGTCCCCTTGCTTGGAGAGGGGAGGACAGGGGAGTTAGCTATTCCCCTGCTGTGCTGGCGGGAGGGAGGAAGTTACTCTTCCTTCCCACCCAGCCAGCAGCTCTAGCTGGAGGTGGGGGCTGTGGAGCCAAGGTTCCTCCATCTTCACCTCCTCTCTGCCACTTGCTCATGGGGGAGGAGTGTGCACTGGGTTAGCTGCCCTCATGTGCCAAGAAAGGCTAGTCCAGTGGTTTTCAAACGTTTTGTATTGGTGACCCCTTCCACACAGCAAGCCTCTGAGTGTGACCCCTCTCATAAATTAAAAATGAGGGGGGTTAATTTAATTTAACAGAGCTGACAGCTCATGACCCCCATGCACCCACCTTGTGACCCTGAGGGGTCATGACCCCCAGTTTGAGAACCCCTAGGCTACTGTCTGTCTAGCCCTAGAGAGAGAGCAGTTAGATCCCTTTCTGTCAGTCACACCCTGGGAGAATGTCTGTGCAGTGTATGTTGGAACCGCGGAGAGAATTCCCTCATATGGCCAGCTAGAAAACAGCAACCGCTGTCCTGTTCTAGGAGCCTGTGATGACTTCAGAATGGCATGGGATGGGCTGAGATACTGGCCCAAATGAGCGTCATTAGAATTCTGTTCATAATCTTCAAGTTTAGTGTTGGTATTTTTAGAAACAGCAACCCGCAGGCTGAAGCTGTGGACAGCCAGAGGCAAGGCAATGTCCGTTGAAGAGGCTACCTGAAGAACCACAGGGGGAAACTGCCTGAAGCCAATGCATGTTCAGGTTACGTGGCAAATCCCACCTGCTTGCAGAAGGCTTCGCTCAGTATCTGAAGACAAGGAATTACAATAAAAAAAACACACAGTGAGCAAATGTTGCTGACCCTGGGGAGAACTGAGTCCACGATGGACGTCTCCTCCAATCTTGAAGGAATGTCTGTGTGGAGCACCTGCCTCTGTATCTAGTCTGCCATCTGCCATCTCCTTTCAGAGGTCCAGTTGCCACATCACAATCATTCCATTCCAACACTGAAGTGACCTTTCTTCCTGCCGGTCCCACTCTGCTACCTCCCTTCTCTACCACTAATGACAATTCCTCCCTCCTTCCCCCTCCCAGTTTCATGGCCTTGGTGTAATCTTCATCTCTTTTGTCTACTGCTCCTGCCTTCACCCCCATATGCAGTCTCTAGGCCACATCCTGTCAGTTCTTCCCGTTTATTATAACCAGATACACCATTTCCTCTATCCCCCCACCCCTGGTCCATGATCTCACCCGGATCACTGCTACCTTCTCTTCTCACCTCTCTTCCTTCAGTCTATTCAAAACATCCCGGTGCATCAGTCACCTTTCTCTCCCACTGCGCTGACCACATCACCTCCATCCCTTTAAGTCTCTTAATTGGCTTTGTGCACCTTACCACAGTAGTTCTCAAACAGGGGTACATGTACCCCTGGGGGTGTGCAGAGCTCTTCCAGGGGTAATCAACTCATCTAGAGATTTGCCTAGTTTTACAACAGGTGACGTAAAAAGCCCTAGTGATGTCAGTAGAAACTAAAATTTCATACAGTGACTAGTTTATACTGCTTTGTATGCTACACACTGAAATGCAAGCACTCAATATTTATATTCCGATTGATTTATTTTATAATTATATGGTAAAAACAAGGAAGCTAGCACTTTTTCATTAACAGTGTGGCTGTGACACTTTTGTATTTTTACGTGTGATTTTGTAAGAAAGTAGTTTTTAAGTGAGATGAAACTTGGGGTACACAAGACAAATCAGCCTCGTGAAAGGGATGCCGTGGTCTGGAGGGGTTGAGAACCATTGCCTTACCACATCAAGTTCCCTCCCCTTCAGAGCCTTACCTAGTCTTGCCCCTGACTTACATCTCTGATCTCATGCCCTCCTGTTCTGTTCTCTCCTTACTCCTCCACTCATCTGCTTTTCATTTTCAGCTTCATCTTCGACCATGTCATCCCCAGTGCTTGGAACAATCTCCAATTTCTTGCTGCCAGCAACTTATCTTTCCTTCCTCACCTCCCCCACTTAAAATCCAGAATCTTTCCTTTCTTGTTCACCCATCATCTAGCCTCAATTTCCCTTCCCTCATTTGCTGTTCTACGATGGCTTGGTTCTGTTAGGTTACAAACACAGAATACAGAGTAGCAGCCTTGTTAGTCTGTATTAGCAAAAATAAAAGGAGTACTTGTGGCACCTTAGAGACTAACCAATTACTTTGAGCATAAGCTTTCGTGAGCTACAGCTCACTTCATTGGATACATACTGTGGAAAATACAGTGGGGAGATTTATATACATAGAGAACATGAAACAATGGGTGTTACCATACACACTGTAACGTCTGTTCCTCAGACGTTCTTGTCAACTGCTGGAAATGGCCCACCTTGATTATCACTACAAAAGTTCCCCCACCGCTCTCCTGCTGGTAATCGCTCACCTTAAGTGATCATTCTGGTTACAGTGTGCATGGTAACACCCATTGTTTCATGTTCTCTATGTATATAAATCTCCCCACTGTATTTTCCACTGAATGAATCCGATGAAGTGAGCTGTAGCTCACAAAATAAAAGCTTATGCTCAAATAAATTGGTTAGTTTCTAAGGTGCCACAAGTACTCCTTTTCTTTTTGCAAACACAGAATAGAAACACTCCCTGCACTGAACAGTTTACAAAGTGCTGTGTAAATTCCAGAGCATTATAAGTAGCCTGTAATGATTTCTGATAACTGTGGTTACTTACGACCTAACTTTTCCAAATGTAGCCTGTCACCCCTTTTTAATGAGTTTTAACTATATGAAAAGTTTGGATGATTAGTGACAAGCTGTGTTATCTAGAAGAGCCCCAAAATGTTACAACATTATTTAAGGTTTCAGAGTAGCAGCCGTGTTAGTCTGTATTCGCAAAAAGAAAAGGAGGACTTGTGGCCCCTTAGAAACTAACAAATTTATTTGAGTATAAGCTTTTGTGAGCTACAGCTCACTTCATGGGATGCAACATCTGATGAAGTGAGCTGTAGCTCATGAAAACTTATGTTCAGATAAATTTGTTAGTCTCTAAGGTGCCACAAGTACTGCTTTTCTTTTTGCAAAATTATTTAAAACACTTAATAAAGAGCCTATTTTCAATAATTATTACCCATATTAATAGAATTACTTGTAAATTCTCATAAAATGCATCTTGTACTGGGAATACACGGAGAACAAACCCTGCCTTGTTAAGTTTCAGAGTAACAGCCGTGTTAGTCTGTCTTTGCAAAAAGAAAAGGAGTACTTGTGGCACCTTAGAGACGAACCAATTTATTTGAGCATGAGCTTTCGTGAGCTACAGCTCACTTCATCGGATGCAACACAGTATGAACACAGAGGTTTAATCAACGCAACCTTAACTATGGAGCTGCTATGATGCCTCTATAATTAAAAGCCTCCAAATAATGCTTGATCAGTGGGTAGCATGAAATCTGACTCTGTATTTGGCAAATACCTATTGTAGCAGAAAAGATAACAATCCCCAAGACATTCATTTCACTGCTGGCCCCAGGCAGGGTCCGGTAGGTCATTTCCGGAGAGGGGGTGATCTCAAGAAGCACAGGCCTTTGAATTTCGGGATTTTCATCGTCAGGTGCAAAGTAAATGAAGCTGAGAGGTTTCCCTGGGATCTTTGGAAAGCCTGAAGATTTTACGACTGGGACGAGAACTGTTCGATACTGCAACAAAATCGAAGAAATTAAAAGATAATGGCCTACTAGCAAAGGGCTGGATTGTGCGCCACTACCATTGACTGGTGCCAGTTCAAGCCCAAAAACTGCAAGGGGGGAGCTTGTTCTGCATGAGGGAGAGTGATATAAAGATCAGCTTGAACTACCTCTGAAAATAAAAGAGACGAGCTGTGACCTGAGCAAGAAACCAGGATGGGAAAGTGTTTTTGTTTCCTTCAGATCACAGCCCAAGCATCCCTGTATGCAGTGTACAGGATGCACTTGAAGGTACATGCACAGGTCACTTACCTGCATGATAGACAGGGTGACATATGTCCTGTTTTGGCTGGGACAGTCCATTTTAAGCCCTGTCCCTGGTGTCCCGAGTTTTGTGTGTGTGCAAAACTGGGCATTTGTCCCATTTGCTCTTGTCAACTGAGCGTCAGCAAAAGCAAATGGGACAAATGCCCGGTTTTGCAAAAAAATGGGGCTTGCCCCCTCCTGGGGCACGGAGGAATGTTCGGGGGGAGTGAGCGGCAGTGCGAGCCTCACCCGGAGGGCAGGGCCGTCCCTACCCATACGCAAAGTACGCAGCTGCGTAGGGCACCAGGAAATTTGGGGCACCACATTTCCTGGTGCCCTGTACAGCTGTCTGCTGCTCCAGCCCCCACCCCGGCTCTTGCCCAGGGCCCCCACCTCTGCCTCTTCCCACCCCTGCTCTGCCCCCGCCTCGCCCCTCTCCCCTGAGGACTCCAGAAGCAGTCCTGCCTGTTCTCACTGGTGGCGGTAAATAGAGCCACCCGGCCCCAGCCTGCTCCGCTCCCCTGGCTCCCAGCAGTGCCGCCGGCGAGTGCTGGGGGGCGGTTCCCCCCTCCCCCCAAGCCTGGGAGCCAGGGGAGCGGAGCAGGCTGGGGCCATGTCACTCCACTTCCCGCAGGAAGTGGCCAGCCTCTCCTCCCCCACACCGCGGAGGCCTGGGGCAGGGCCCCACACAGCCCCCTTGTGCGGGGAGGCTAAGTAGGGCACCAAAATAGCTAGGGACAGTCCTGCCAGAGGGGCTTGTTCAAGCAGTGACACCAGGGCCCAGGTCAGTCCTGCGTGTGGGGTGCATCCCCTAAGGCTCAAGCCAGCTCTGCACGGGGGCGGGGGGCAGCTCAGATGAACAGCTCGGGCTGTGGTGACAACTGCCCCCAGCTAGGAGGGGTCGGCCTTGCTTTGCAGTCACCAGGACGGCATTTCCTATGTCTCCCTCGCATTTCTCTCTCTTGCCTTTTTGCTTCACTCTCTTTTTTCCTTTCCTTGCTCATTGACCTTATGATCTTTCCCCCTGACTTTTTCAGTCTATTTCTTGCTCTATGCAACTTTTCTCGGTTGTGGAACAGTTCTTCTCTTTTCCTTCTCTCTTCCTCTTCAGATGTCTCCCCCTCTCGTGTTCCACATTCCAACCGCCCTGGGCTCTCCCCACCTTCACCGTCTCTCCCATGCTTTCTTCTGCCTCACCCCCCCCAAAATCACTCTCTTCCCTTCACCCTGCAATTACTGCCTCCCTAGGAAAACCCAACAACTACCAACCACAGGTGCACGTTCGCCTGGAATAGGCTGGTACCTGCCGCAGGCTCCCTCTACCCAATCCACACAGTCCTTGTGACACAGCCTCCACCCTGCAAAATCCACACGTGCCAGTCTGCCTCCCCTCTCCATCCCCACCACACATGCAGCCTCCTTCCCCTAGGCCGCCTCCCTGCACCCACAGAGAGGCTCATTCTCCCTCCCCGCTCCAGTCCCCATCCATTCTCCCTTTCTGGCTCCTCACTCTTCATTTCTTGCCCTCCTCCCAGCTCTCTACCCTTCCTGCCCCTACCTCCTGGTGATTCCCCACCCGTACCCCAACATGCCCCTCGGGGTGGGGATGGCGCATCTGGACAGGAGGCAGAAGCTCTGCTGTTCGCCCTTTCCCTGCAGGCTCTGCCATCTGGTACCAACAAGAGCTCGGGCCAGAGATAAAGCGAACAGCTCGGTTTAGAGCAGCATTAATGGCCAGATTTCCAAAGGAGTTGAGCCCTGCGGGTCTTTGGGAAATCTGGCCCTAGGTAATGAGAACGGGGAGTGGCTCGTTCTAGTGGAGAGCAGAAGACCCTTTTCATTTTTAACTCCCCATGTGTACGGAGGCTGAGTCTGGGGAGGATGGGACATATCACCAGCGAGGAAACCCCCACCCACCAACTGTGCAGCCTCCCAGCCAGGAGGGCTCAAAGCCTGGCCAGGGCACATGTGCAGCCCCAGCACACACGGCTGGGTTGAAGCTTCCAATCATGCGCCACGAGACGGGATCCACCCTTGTGATGAGCCACAGTCACTGTGGGTGAGTGTGGAAGGGGGGATGCTTCTTCCCAGCCAAGCTCCTATGGCAAAAGGTGCTAATCACTGATATTGAGAGAGCCACCCAAGCCCACAGGGTTGCCCATGTGACCCATCCCCATGAGGCTGTTTTGATTGTTCTCAGGAGCCTAGAGGTGACTTAGGAGCTCAGAATCAAGGGAACTCACCTGCTGGAATGAAGCTTCAATCAGGTTAGAAGGAAACATATTTCTGTAAGAGATGAATGAGACAGGAATGAATCAGCCGCATGAGCTTGAAAAGAAACTGGAGAACCTCTTTGCAGGATTAACATTTGTAGAATTAAGGCGAGTAAAGTACATTATGGCTTATGCTCATTCAGTTCTACTGTCCCTGTTCCAAGTTTAAATCAGGAGCAGAAATGGGATTGAAAAATCAAGTGATAACATGGCCGTTGAGCCAAATATGTAAACCCAGAGGCTAATGTTGTATTTCTGAGAACCCATTTGTCATAGAATTAACTAGGTGTTTTCATTGGCTATTGAGCCAAATCCTGCCGTCTTTACCTAGGGAAAACTCCAGGTAACATGGATGGGAGATTTACAGTAGTAGGGACTGAAGGATTTGGCCCACAGATGTGCTCAACATTGTAAATTCAGCAGGGGGAAGGCAGCAGTGGTATGAGTTTTGTGAAACTTCTCAAAAAATTGACTGCAAAATCCTTAACATCACATCCACCATATTCTCTCCACTGCCAAGAGGACAGCTGTACAGTCCCTGAAATCTAACCACCAGATAGGGATCGAACCAGCAAAAGGGTCCTCAACCATAATGATTACATTAATGAGGCCAGCTGACAACTCTCTGACACCAACTACTATAAAGAACCCAAAAATGACCCTATACCACAATTCACCCAGGAATTTAAGGACATAATCAAATCCTTCCCCAAACAACTCCAAGAAAAATTCTACAAACTCATCCCCATGAACACACCCTAGGGACCTTCTTTTCCTCCAGAAACTCCACAACATTAACAGCCTCCCTCAGAACACCATCTTTGCCCCCATCGATGTCACTTCCCTGTACCCCAACGTCCCTCACAATGATGGCATCACTGCCAGCCTCAAATAGCTACACGACAATGGACAACACTCAGAGATCCACCCCAAACACCTCACCAAACTCCTCCATTTCCGCCTCTCCCAATTTTACATTCAACAACAAACACTTTGTCCAGACCATGGGAGCAACCCTGGGTACTAGGATGGCTCCCCAATGTGCCAACCTCTTCATGGGCCACCTTGAAGAACAATTTCTGGACAAATGCACCAGGAAACCAGTGAACTACCTGAGACATCAATGATACTTTCGTCCTCTGGACAGACGACTTAAACTCCCTCACAGATTTTCACAACAACTTCAACCACCGCCACACGTCCACTAAACTCTCTCTGGGACAGTCCCACGCCAGCATCAACTTCCCGGCCACCACAATCAGCTTCAACAAAGGAATCCTACAGACAACTATATACAAGAAACACACAATCACCACACCGACCTTCACATGTCCAGTAACCACCCCAAACACACCAAGAAATCTGTTCGCTGCAGCCAGGCATTCACATACCACAGAATATGCTCAGAGGAGAAAGTCCGGGATATCGACCTTAACACGCTTGAAACCGCCTTCGCCAAACAAGGGCACCCCACCAGAGAAGTAGATTGGATCATGGACTGGGCCACCCAAGTGCCCTGAGAGAACCTGCTTCAATACAGAAATAAAACCCCTTCTGACCCCACACCCCTAGTTGTCACCTACCACCCCAGTCTGGAACCCATATAGGGTATCATCAAACAACTACAACCCATATTTGATGGGGACCCCATTCTGAAAGAAATTTTTCCTGAACCCCCACTTCTGACCTTCAAACACCCTGTAACCTCTCCAAGCTCAGCATCAGAAGTAAGCTCTCCATTGATCAGTACTCACCAACTCAAAGCAGCACCAGACCCTGCCAGAACAACAGATGCAAAACCTGCAGCCATATCTCCACTGCTATGATGATCAACACCCCCCACAACACACCTTTCAGGATCTATGGATCCTACACACGCCTATCACAACATCTCGTGTACCTCGTCCAGTGCACTAACAATGCCCACAAAACAGCTGTGTGGGTGAAATGACGTGATTGGAATAACAGAGACTTGGTGGGATAACTCACATGACTGGAGTACTGTCATGGATGGTTATAAACTGTTCAGGAAGGACAGGCAGGGCAGAAAAGGTGGGGGAGTAGCACTGTATGTAAGGGAGCAGTATGACTGCTCAGAGCTCCGGTACGATACTGCAGAAAAACCTGAGTGTCTCTGGATTAAGTTTAGAAGTGTGAGCAACAGGAGTGATGTAGTGGTGGGAGTCTGCTATAGACCACCGGACCAGGGGGATGAGGTGGATGAGGCTTTCTTCCGGCAGCTCGCGGAAGCTACTAGATCTCATGCCCTGGTTCTCATGGGTGACTTTAATTTTCCTGATATCTGCTGGGAGAGCAGTACAGCGGTGCATAGACAATCCAGGAAGTTTTTGGAAAGCGTAGGGGACAATTTCCTGGTGCAAGTGCTAGAGGAGCCAACTGGGGGGGAGCTTTTCTTGACCTGCTGCTCACAAACCGGGAAGAATTAGTAGGGGAAGCAAAAGTGAATGGGAATCTGGGAGGCAGTGACCATGAGTTGGTTGAGTTCAGGATCCTGACACAGGGAAGAAAGCTAAGCAGCAGGATACGGACCCTGGACTTCAGGAAAGCAGACTTCGACTCCCTCAGGGAACGGATGGGTAGGATCCCCTGGGGGACTAACATGAAGGGGAAAGGAGTCCAGGAGAGCTGGCTGTATTTCAAGGAATCCCTGTTGAGGTTACAGGGACAAACCATCCCGATGTGTCGAAAGAATAGTAAATATGGCAGGCGACCAGCTTGGCTTAACGGTGAAATCCTAGCGGATCTTAAGCATAAAAAAGAAGCTTACAAGAAGTGGAAGGTTGGACATATGACCAGGGAAGAGTATAAAAATATTGCTCGGGCATGTAGGAATGAAATTAGGAGGGCCAAATCGCACCTGGAGCTGCAGCTAGTGAGAGATGTTAAGAGTAACAAGAAGGGTTTCTTCAGGTATGTTGGCAACAAGAAGAAAGCCAAGGAAAGTGTGGGCCCCTTAATGAATGAGGGAGGCAACCTAGTGACAGAGGATGTGGAAAAAGCTAATGTACTCAATGCTTTTTTTGCCTCTGTCTTCACGAACAAGGTCAGCTCCCAGACTGCTGTGCTGGGCATCACAACATGGGGAACAGATGGCCAGCCCTCTGTGGAGATAGAGGTGGTTAGGGACTATTTAGAAAAACTGGACGTGCACAAGTCCATGGGGCCGGATGAGTTGCATCCGAGAGTGCTAAAGGAACTGGCGGCTGTGATTGCAGAGCCATTGGCCATTATCTTTGAAAACTCGTGGCGAACGGGGGAAGTCCCGGATGACTGGAAAAAGGCTAATGTAGTGCCCATCTTTAAAAAAGGGAAGAAGGAGGATCCTGGGAACTACAGGCCAGTCAGCCTCACTTCAGTCCCCGGAAAAATCATGGAGCAGGTCCTCAAAGAATCAATACTGAAGCACTTACATGAGAGGAAAGTGATCAGGAACAGCCAGCATGGATTCACCAAGGGAAGGTCATGCCTGACTAATCTAATCGCCTTCTATGATGAGATTACTGGTTCTGTGGATGAAGGGAAAGCAGTGGATGTATTGTATCTTGACTTTAGCAAAGCTTTTGACACGGTCTCCCACAGTATTCTTGTCAGCAAGTTAAGGAAGTATGGGCTGGATGAATGCACCATAAGGTGGGTAGAAAGTTGGCTAGATTGTCGGGCTCAACGGGTAGTGATCAATGGCTCCATGTCTAGTTGGCAGCCGGTGTCAAGTGGAGTGCCGCAGGGGTCGGTCCTGGGGCCGGTTTTGTTCAATATCTTCATAAATGATCTGGAGGATGGTGTGGATTGCACTCTCAGCAAATTTGCGGATGATACTAAACTGGGAGGAGTGGTAGATACGCTGGAGGGCAGGGATAGGATACAGAGGGACATAGACAAATTGGAGGATTGGGCCAAAAGAAATCTGATGAGGTTCAATAAGGATAAGTGCAGGGTCCTGCACTTAGGACGGAAGAACCCAATGCACAGCTACAGACTAGGGACCGAATGGCTAGGCAGCAGTTCTGCGGAAAAGGACCTAGGGGTGACAGTGGACGAGAAGCTGGATATGAGTCAGCAGTGTGCCCTTGTTGCCAAGAAGGCCAATGGCATTTTGGGATGTATAAGTAGGGGCATAGCGAGCAGATCGAGGGACGTGATCGTCCCCCTCTGTTCGACATTGGTGAGGCCTCATCTGGAGTACTGTGTCCAGTTTTGGGCCCCACACTACAAGAAGGATGTGGAGAAATTGGAGAGAGTCCAGCGAAGGGCAACAAAAATGATTAGGGGTCTGGAACACATGACTTATGAGGAGAGGCTGAGGGAACTGGGATTGTTTAGTCTGCAGAAGAGAAGAATGAGGGGGGATTTGATAGCTGCTTTCAACTACCTGAGAGGTAGTTCCAGAGAGGATGGTTCTAGACTATTCTCAATGGTGGAAGAGGACAGGACAAGAAGTAATGGTCTCAAGTTGCAGTGGGGGAGGTTTAGGTTGGATATTAGGAAAAACTTTTTCACTAAGAGGGTGGTGAAACACTGGAATGCTTTGCCTAGGGAGGTGGTGGAATCTCCTTCCTTAGAAGTTTTTAAGGTCAGGCTTGATAAAGCCCTGGCTGGGATGATTTAATTGGGGATTGGTCCTGCTTTTGAGCAGGGGGTTGGACTAGATGACCTCCTGAGGTCCCTTCCAACCCTGATATTCTATGATTCTATGATTCTATGAAATCAGACAATCACTACACTCTCAAATGCACTTACACAGGAAAATGACAAAAGACAAAAACACCCCATCCCCTGGGAGCTTAAATGCATTACTCTACTAGACACTAAAAATCGCGGACTGACAAGAGACACTGGATTTAGGCCCTGTCTACACTGGCAAGTCTCTGCGCAGTAAAGCAGCTGTGAGCGCGGTAACTCCCGAGGTGAGCACACTGCCAAGCCCCTGAGTGCGCAGAAACTGCGCAGTTGCAGCGCTCTAAAAAACCCACCCTGATGAGAGGCGTCGAGCTCCCTGCGCCGGGGGTACAGCGCTGCAAAGCAACAGACGATGATGTTAAATCTTCATATTGCATCGTCTGCACCGATCACAATCACCTCCTAGCATTATGAGCATTGCACTCCCAAGCATAGCAACAAATAATAGTGGCTTTCAGCTTCAAATTGCTGCCTCAAGGCATCCCTGATCCTTATGGCCTCGTGCTGTGCCCCTCTAATAGCCCTGATCTCTGGCTGTTTAAACTCAGCCTCCAGGCGCTGAGCCTCTGCGATCCAGCCCTGAGTGAAGCTTTCACCCTTCCCTGCACAAATGTTACGGAGCGTCCAGCACGTGGCTATAAGCCTAGGATTATTGTCATCGGCCAGGTCCAGCCTCCCACAGCGGCAGCACCAGCAGGCCTTTAAAAGGCCAAAAGCGCACTCCACAGTCATTCTGCACTTGCTCAGCTTGTTGTTGAACTGCTCCTGGCTGCTGTCCCATGTATGGCTTCATAAGCCATGGCATTAAGGGGTAAGCAGGGTCTCCCAGGATCACAATGGGCATTTTGACTTCCTCTATGGTGATTTTCTGGTGCAGAAAGAAAGTCCCTGCTTGCAGCTTCCTGAACAGGCCAGTGTTCCAAAAGATGCATGCGTCATGCACCTTTCCGGGCCAGCCTGCGTTAATGTCTGTGAAATGCCCCCAGTGATCTACAAGCACCCGGAAAACCATAGAGAAATACCCCTTCCAATTAACGTACTCGGTGGCTAGGTGATCTGGTGCCAGAATTGGAATATGCTTGCCATTGATCACCCCTCCGCAGTTAGGGAAGCCCATTTGTGCAAAGCCATCCACAATGTCACGCACATTGCCCACAGTCACGGTCTTCTGGAGCAGGATGCGATTAATGGCCCGGCACACTTCAGTCAACACGAGTCCAATGGTCAACTTTCCCACTCCGAACTGGTTAGCAACCAATCGGTAGCAGTCTGGAGTAGCCAGCTTCCACAGTGCAATCGCCATGTGCTTCTCCGGCAACAGGGCAGCGCTCATTCTCGTGTCCTTGCGCTGCAAGGCTGGGGCGAGCTCATCACACAGTCCCATGAATGTGGCTTTCCTCATCCAAAAGTTCTGCAGCCACTGCTCATCATCCCAGATGTGCATGACGATGTGATCCCTCCACTCAGTGCTTGTTTCCTGAGCCCAAAAGCGGCATTCCACGGTGGTCAGCACCTCCATGAATGCCACAAGCAATCTCATGTCATAGCTACTACGTGTGGCAAGATCAATGTCACATTCCTCTTGCCTCTGTAGTTTAAGGAATAACTCCACTGCCACTCATGATGTGCTGGTCAGAGCAAGCAGCATCCTGGTCATCAGCTTGGGATCCATTCCTGCAGCCCGAAGAGACAGAGCACACAGCGCACAAACCATTGATGATTTAGTTGGGGATTGGTCCTGCTTTGAGCAGGGGTTGGACTAGATGACCTCCTGAGGTCCCTTCCAACCCTGATATTCTATGATTCTATGAAAGATGGCACCAAATGCGGATGGAAGCCCAGGGAGCGCTGGGATGCGAAGCAATGCATCATGGGTCACTGGGACAGAACCCAGGATGCCCCATGACCCCCTCCGCCTTCCCACAACTCTTAGTGGCAGAAGAGGAAGAGATGCTCGGTGGGACAGCTGCCCAGAGTGCACTGCTCCGAATACCGCTGCAAGTGCCACAAGGGTGAACACGCTATTGTGCAGGCAGCTGACAGTGTGAACACACCACAGCGGCTTCCCTTCAGCGCGCTCTGAGCGGTGCTGGAACTCCCGGCGCTCCCACTCTGCCCGTGTAGACACACCCTTATTGTTTATTACAACAGTCTGTAACCCACGAACCCCCTCTTTTTGTCCTCTGACTGCAGAGGTGTTAACGGGCCACCGTACCTTGAATGGTCCCTTACAATATGTGCTAACTGCTTATGCTAAACAAGCTGTTCCCCCTTGCATTTTCCTGTGAGTTTTGATGTAGTTCCTTTCCCAGACCAGAAGAAGAGCTCTGTGTGTCTCAAAAGTGTGTCTCTCTCACCACCAGAAGTTGATTCAATAAAAGATATTCCCTCACCCACCGAGTCTCTCTAATATCCTGGGCTACAACTACATGGCATACAAACTATTTCTCTACATTTCAGAATTCATTGAGCGCTTAATAACCTGCTCCCTTCATGTCACTGGCTGTGCTCTGGTCACTCCTGCCAAAGCCTGGCTGCCAGACACAAGCCACTCAGAGCCCTTGCTAGAGGCCTGCAGCCGGCTGGCTGAAGTGGGAGAGTGGAAGGAAGATGGTGGCCAGGGTGCCCAAGAGCTGCACTCATCATGACTCCATCCATGAACATAAGAACAGCCGCACTGGGTCAGACAAAAGGTCCATCTAGCCCAGTCTCCTGTCTTCTGACTGTGGCCAATGCCAGGTGCCGCAGAGGGAATGAACAGAACAGGTAATCATCAAGTGATCCATCCCCTGTTGCTCATTTCCAGCCTCTGGCAAACAGAGGCTAGGGACACCATCCCTGCTGATCTTGGCTAATAGCCATTGATGGACCTATCCTCCATGAACTTATCTAGTTCTTTTTTTAACTCTGTTATAGTCTTGGCCTTCACAACATCCTTTGGCAAGGAGTTCCACAGGTTGACTGTGTGTTGTGTGAATACTTCCTTTTATTTTTTTTTAACCTGCTGCCTATTAATTTCCTTCGGTGACCTCTGGTTCTTATGTTATGAGGAGTAAATAACATGGGCAGTTTCTGCCAGTGGGGCTCCTGTGGAGGCCAGGCTGGAACTCAAAGCTGCCCTCCCTGAGCATAAGCCCCAGAGCGAGTGGCTGTGGGGCTATTACCTGCCCCCCACTGGGGTATCTCTCAGGAGAGGGAGGGCAGCTGACTCAGTGCATGCACGTGGGGGAGATGATGAGTTGATGGGGGGTGCTGTGGGGGGGGAGAAAAGAATTAACTGACTTTGTTGGGGCTCACGATGAGTGCATTCATCGCAGGGCCCCCTGCCCGTGGGGAGTAAGGAGAAAGCAGAAGGCTGCAGCTGAGGGAGTGACTTCTCGGTGGCAGCTGGGCAAGAGCAGCGCCCCCTCACTGCACTGACCGTAGACACCTGGGGTGGGATCCACGGAAGGCTGTGGGCTTTGCAGTGCCAAGTGTCACAGCACCTAACTTTTGGACACCTAGAAAATCACAGGAACAACACTAAGTTAGGTGCCTCGGCTCCTACACGATGACCCCAGCCCACACCGAACAGCCAGCAGAGGAGCAGTGGTGACGGCCACCTTAACTTTTAGCCCAGTGGTTGCAGCACTCACCTGGGATGTGCGATGTCCAGGTTCAGCTCCCCCATCTCTGCCAGAGGGGAACCAGGATCCAGAGGTGGATTACGGATGTGTAGGGTGCTGGGCCAGAGCAAGAGGGGGCCCCCCTCCCCCTGCTCCTGCTGGGGAAATGGGGTCAGGGCACAGGGGCTTCCCCCACTCCCTGGCATGAGCGCCAGGGCAGGTGGAGCAGGTCAGGGCACAGGGGTGCCCATTTTTCCAGAGTCCCCCCAATTGGCCAGGGTCCTGGGGGCCAATCCACCACTGCCAGGATCTGAACAGGCGTCTCCGCCATCCTGGATGGGTGCCCAACCACTGGACTACAGAGTGCCTCTCTTGCACTCACTCCCACCTTCCTCTCCACGATAACTAAGTGTTTATCCACAGTGGAATGGCCATGGGGCCGGAGAGACTGGAAATCACTCTGTGGCCTGGTGGTTCAGGCCCTGAGGTGGGAGACCCCGGGGGCCCAGTCCCCTTCCTCCAGTCACTCTTTTGTAATTGAGCCACAGTAGACCAGCTTCAGGGACCCAACATCCCCAGCTCAGTGGGTAGCACGCTCTCCTGAGAGGTGGGAGGCCCCTCTTCAAATCCTTTCACTACCCTGGCAGAGAGGGGGATTGAACCTGGTGTTGCTACACCCCAGGTGAGTGTGCTAACCACTGGGCTAAAGGTTATAAGGTGGGTGGGTACTAATGCCACCTCCTCCTCCAGCCAGATTTAGAGTGGGACCTAATCGAGTAGGCCTGCTCAGAGACCACATACAGACTGGGCTCTGCGCACAACTTAGGGAGCCGAATGCCTGTCTCCCCCCAGTTCATGACTTGTTCTGGGGCTTAACGCAGGAGATTGGTGTCTGGATGCCTAGAGAGGCGGCAGCATGCTCGCCCCACAGTCTAAAATTTGGGTATCTACTGTCTAGGGAACTTTTACCGCAGAGAGTGAGGTGCTGAGGCAGTTTAGGTGCCCACAGGGTTAGGCAGCAGCTGAATGGGAGTTCTGGGGGTCGTTATGGTGCTGCACAGAGGGGTTTAGGCATCAATGTTGCTGCATGGATTGCAGTCAGAGTCAATTGTAGTGTGAACAAGTGCCCGCTGGTGAAATGCCTGGAGTTGTACCCACTTACTCCAGGGCTGAATTTGGCCAATTTCTTCTTAAATGTTCTTTGAGCCATTAGTCTTGTTAAAAGCTTATTTACCGTGCAAAGATCTTGGCTGTAAACAATAAAACAGGACCCGTATTTATAAAATCAGGGCTATTCCAGAAGGTGCTAGAGAGTACCTGATTAAATCCAGTAAGGCGTCTGCAGAGCTTAACACCACGTTGCCCACGGTATACTCCTCCTTTTGGGCAGCAGCGCCCGGATGAATGTTGATCACAAGCACAATCCCAACAGTCACAGCCATGAATGTAGTCCAAAGATAATAGGTGAGTGTGATCAACCCCATCTTCCCACAGGCCTTGGAGTCTATGGTGGCCAAGCTGGACATCAGACTGAAAGAGAAAAGAACATGCTCAGCGAACTCTCACAACTGAACTGCACAAGACATGTCTCTGGCAAAGACCGCCCGAGTCACCAGCTCCATGCAGTGCTTGCCCCGGTAGAGCCCCCACTGGCCATGAGATCTGCAGGGTGCTTGCCACCCCGCCAAGGTCCTGAACTCCAATCCACTTAAGATCATTGAGCTCAATCATCTGCTCAGTGCACAGGGCTGGACAAGGAGCAAACAACATGTTCTCTTCCATTATGACAGGAACGGAGAACAATGCTGAAAATAGGGTCGTGTCAGCCATTATATCAATCACTGGGCGTCTTCTGCCTGGGATTCCATGTCCAACGCTGGTCACGCCATTTGAAATGGGCAACAGAAATGGTTAGAGGCCTGGAGAGACTTCATGTGAGGCCTCAGAGACAAGAGAAATAAGCAGTGACATGACAGAGGGTTAGATAAGGTGACCCAGGAGTTCTCAGATTCTCCGGACCATGTCAGGCAGGAAGTCAGATCATAATGGTCTATGACTCATAAATGAGACAGTCAGTGAAACTGAAAGGCAACAAATTTTAAGGAGTCTGGTGGCACCTTAAAGACGAACAGATTTATTAGGGCATAAGCTTTTGTGGGTAAAACCCACTTCTTAAGATGCATGGAGTGAAAATTACAGATGCAGGCATTATATACTGACACATGAAGGGAAGGGAGTTACCTCACAAGCAGAGAGCTAGTGTTGGCCTGGGGAAGGAGAGCTCAGTGGTTTGAGTATTGGCCTGCTAAACCTAGGCTTGTGAGTTCAATCCTTGAGGGGGCCATTTAGGGATCTGGGTCAAAATTTGGGGATTGGTCCTGCTTTGAGCAGGGGGTTTGGACTAGATGACCTCCTGAGGTCCTCTCCAACCCTGAGATTCTATGAATTCAATCAGGGTGGATGTAATCCACACCCAATAATAGATGAGGAGGTGTTAATTCCAGGAGTGGCAAAGCTGCTTTTGTAATGGGACAGCCACTCCCAGTCCCTATTCAAGCCCAAATTAATGGTGTTAAATTTTCAAATGAATTTTAGTTCTGCTGTTTCTCTTTGAAGTCAATTTCTGAAGTTTTTTTGTTCAAGTATAGCTACTTTCAAATCTGTTATAGAATGTCCAGGAAGATTGAAGTGTTCGCCTACTGGCTTTTGTATGTTACCATTCCTGATGTCCGATTTGTGTCCATTTATTCTTTTACATAGGGAGTCCGGTCTGGCCAATGTGCATGGCAGAGGGGCACTGCTGGCACGTGATGGCATGTATCACACAGGTGGACGTGCAGGTGAACGAGCCCCTGATGGTGTGGCCGATGTGGTTGGGTCCTCTGATGGTGTTGCTCATTCACCTGCATGTCTACATCCAGCCGGATCGAATGGGCCCTGTCAACACTGGTTCTCCACTTGTGAGGTAACTCCCTTCCCCACTCCCTGGCAGGAGCGCCAGGGAGGGTGGAGCAGGTCAGGGCACAGGGGTGCCCATTTTTCCAGAGCCCCCCCAATTGGCCAGGGTCCTGGGGGCCAATCCGCCACTGCCAGGGTCTGAACAGGCGTCATTAGAGAGAAGCTGCATTTTCTCTCCCAGCTGCTCTTTTCTCTCCCCGTTGGGGTCTGGTTTGTTTTATTTTCTGGGAAACAGGATCGGACTTTACCAGCAACAGCTCCAGCTCATCTCCCTTTTTTCTGTCTCACGCGTCCCAAACCAGGAAAGTTCTTCCCACTTTTAATCCATCTAAGGGCTGGAGAGCTAAGGGGGGTGCAGTTCACCTTGTCTCACTAATCTCCTGGGACTTATACAGCTACAGCTACACTGCATATGTGGAAGAGACTGCCAGACAGGGGGGTTTTCCTTCTAAAAACTCTCGACAGTTAAGGGAAAGGAAGAAGGGATGCTCTTCAAAGCCTTACTTAACACTTTTCATTTTTAAGGCTTTAGCTGTTTTTCCTTCTTTTTCTCGATCTTTAATAAAAGGCCAGAGAGATTTGTAGTTTTGTGTTCCATGGGACTAAGCCAGCTGGGGTCTCTGTACTCAGAACCCCACATTCGGTTTAAAACTCAGTGTTGTACAGTGACAGGGTCAGGTGAGCATCTTTGACTGGCTTTGTCCATTTATTTCACTGAAATTAATACAACAGGTTTCTTGCACCTTCTTCTGAGGCAGCTGGTCCTGGTTATCATCCAACAAGCATCCGAGCCGGGGGATCCCATTGCCTGGTGTCTCGAGGGACACAAAGGGGCGGACACGTGACCTCCCCACATGACTCCTCCCCCCCTGCCCCCAGCTCGGGGCCCCTGTGCTCTCCCCGTCCCCTCCCAATCCCACGTTACCTGGGGGGGGCTCTGTCCTCCTGCTGCGCTGGCTCCCCCCGGCTCTTCCTGGCAGCCAGGTCCTGGAGCCACTGCCTGGGAGAGCGCCGGGCTGCCTCCCTCCAGGCTTGGCCCCCAGGACAGCGGCTGAGCGAGTCGGACTCCCCCCATGCCCCCCAAGGCATGCTCAGACGCTGAGTCTGGGTGGGGTGCAGCCTGCTGCTGCCACAGCCAGGCACTCTCCCAGGCAGCGGGGTTGGAAGAGGAGAGGCTCTGGCCCTGCCCCTGCTCCTTCCTCTCCCCACCCAGGCTGGCTGCTGGGGGCACTTGACCTTGCTAGAGGGGCACTTGGCCCTCTGGGCACCTACCACAAGTCACCCATCAGAGGCAGTCTGGAATGTCCATGGTCCGGAGCTCTTCCTGAGTTACAGGAAAATGGAATGTTTCTGAATTTTGCAAAAGCCTTTGTTGAGCTCTCCCAATGGGCTTGTTTTTACACATCCAAACTCCTTGTACATGCAGGGCTGGTCTACACCGCACCGTTACATCTGCATAGCGACATTTCACACCCCTGAGAGACTGTTAAACCAACTAATCCCAGTGTAGACCATGGTAGGTTGAGAAGACTTCTTCCATCAACCGAGCTGCCGCCTCTCAGGGAGGTGGATGACCGCCAACGCCAGGAGAGCCTCTCTCATTGCTGTAGGAAGTGGCTGCACTTACTGAAGCACTACTGTGGTGTAGACAGAGCCTCAGGCCATGTCTACACTGCCACGTATGTCAGCAAAACGTATGTCGCTCAGGGGTGTGGAAACCCCCCGCCCCAAGTGACGTACGTTTCACCGGCATAAGGGCTCACGTGCACAGCACTGTGCTGGTGGGAGAGCTGCTCCTGCTGCTCCTTGCGGTGGTTTTATGATGTTCACAGAAGCTCGTTTTCTCTCTCTCTCGGCAGAACAGAGCAGCTCCAGCCTCACAGCTATACAGCTGTAAGTCCGCTGGCATAGACGTGGCCTTTCGGAAGGACTAGACCATGGGCTGTTTTAAACAAACCTGGTCTATAAAGGTCTCAACATCCTGCTAATGTGAACCGTTGCTCTGGTTATTTGTCAGCAGCTCCAGCATGAAATTACAGTACTCTGAACCAGCACATTGTCAAACAGCTGCATTTGCTCCAGTGAACAAGGCAGTTAAGTAAATTTCTGCCAGCCATCTCTGGCCAAAGGGCTCTGACTTGGAGAGTGTGCAGAGAGATGGCTGCCCTGCAATGCGTTAGGCCCAGATCATGCTTGCTCCAAGTTTGGAAGGAGTTCATCTTTCTGGACCGCCATTCCTTGCTGCAAAAGTCTGAAGCCTAGGGATGCATGCAGGGGAGCAGGATAAAATCTGGGAGGGCCAGATAGGAGGAGTGGGCAGACCAGGGATGGTCAGGGGGCTGCATATTGCCCTTCCTTCGGCCCAGCCCTGAGTATATGCCCCAGAGATTAAAACACAGCCCCAGCCTGTATTATCTTTTCTCTAGAACCCACCTTTTTTCTAAAGTCTGCAGGACTGTCTCCTGTGGACTCTAGCAGAGTCCACATTGGGCCTATGGCTTCTGATGGCCTGCTAAGTTCTACAGCAGACCCCGTGAACTTCAGAAAGTCCACAGGAACTCAGAGGTGGGAAGTGGAGCAGGAATTGAGGTGGGGAGGTTGCAGAAGCACAGGAGTGGAAAGTTGATTCACAGAAAGCGGATAGGGAGCTCGTGGATCTAGGATCCCACAGAGTTCCTAAGCTCTGCGGAGATCTTTGACCCCTTGTTTCCCTAGTTCCCAGAGTCCTGCAGAGCTCCCTGGCTAAGCTCAGTCCATTGCCCTCCAGAGCCTTGGGCTGCACAGGGGTACTGCACTCTGTCCACCATGATCCCTATATGTGTCAAAAACATTTCAGACTTGTCATTAAGCTTGGCGAGCACATGGAGGGAGACATGAGAGTGTAGAACCCCCTAAACAACAACACCACAAATCAGGCCAAGGAGTTTGAAACAATAAAAGGAAGAGGGGGGTTGGACTAGGTGACCTCCTGAGGTCCCTTCCAACCCTGATATTTTATGATTCTATGATTCTAAGAGGAAAGCAATTTTAGAAGTGCTGATTCAAAAAAATATAAACTTCCCAAAAATTCACAGATGTGGCCATAATGTAGAACACAGTCTATAAAAAAATGTTTTTTAAAAAACCCTAATATATATAACTGAAAGGAAAAATAGAAATCAGACTCTGATGTGAAACATTAGATGATGAAAAATATTGTGAAAGAATTAATTATGAACAAATTCCTGGAACATTTTCTAATGACCTCTCTAGAATCAGGAATCAATTTTTCAGAGTGTTCAACAAAGCTAAATATTGGTGATTAGAGGCACTAATTTCTCAAATTTAATCTTAAATTTAAATATTTTATGTGGATGTCATTATTTATATCCATAATTCTACAGGGTGACACTTTTTTTTAAAAAAAGGAAATTACAAACACAAACCACGAAGCTGAATCCCAGGTAAGGTAGTTCAGATAGCACCAGCGCCAAGCCAGGAAAGAATAAAGAAATCCAGCGGTTAGTTTCTGGAAACACATTACACAGGAACCAATTGACAACAGTTCATAGAAAGGACAACACTTGTGCATCGAACGGGCAAGTAAAATATCCAGCCAAAACAAAGCTCCGAAGCTCCATCTTCAGCCAGGTGCAATGCATGGAGCCGTAACTGACAGTGCCTGTACTATGTTGACAATGTTATTGGTAGCAAATGATCAGGTGGGCTTCCTGCAGGGAAGTCACTGGAGCGGGCTGGAAATGGAAATGAGAGGAGGCTAATGCTGTGAGGGGCACGTGTCACTGCTCATAGGCACATGCCAGAGACAATTTGGACTCACGGTGTATAGGTGTAAAAGCTGCTGATTGGATCTGCCAGGGCAGTCAGTGCTGGATGATCAAACGAGATCACACAGCAATACTGACAAAAGACAGTGTGTGTTGTGCAGTCTCTTTTGCTTTTGGCAGTGGGATTACACCGTGGGTATCCTCATTCCAGAGTAAAGGGGATTGTGTCAGTGTAAAGGGCAGTGGGGGCAGCCGGGAATGGGATAGAACTAGATGGGGGGTTGTATGGGCATTCCTATAAAACATCAACGTAAGGAATTTGTGCACTTAATTCAGATTCCCCACTCCAAAATGACCAGCCTCCTCATTCTCTGCTGCCCAGCTACATGTATCCCTCTACACCGTGATTACCCTCAGCTGTCTGACTGCAATCCCAGAAGGGCTGAAGAAGCGATTCATATGCAAATAATCCTGGTTTGGGATGAGTGAATTAGTTTGCCAATCAGGTTATCAAGCGGGTGGGGGGAAATGGAGAGAAGACTTGATTCCCATCCATTCATTCAGTCTCCTGCAGGTAGAGTGTAGTGTGTACATTTTGGATCAGGTCTTCTGGCGATGTTGCAGACTGCTGTATGTTAAGGCTGAGGCGGGTGAGGTTGGAAGCCAGGATATCCCTACAGCATGTACGAGGCCATTCGCGGGGGTCTTTTCCATGCAGCTTTTGTTGGTTCAGATGCATAAAGCTAGTGGGCTGGTCTGAACTCCGGCATACTGGGGTGGGAGGTGGGGGGCACAAGGAGGGCTGCCCGCACCGCAGCAGGTAACCCGGGGGGGGGGGGGCAGGGGAACCGCTCCCCACCCCAGCTCCCCTCCACCTCCCTGGGCCTGAGCGTGAAGCCGCCGCCTGCTTCTCAGCCCTCCCCAGCTTCCAGCATGAACAGCTGATTCTTGGGAAGCGGGGTGGGGGGAGAAGCAGAGCAGGGCAGCGTGTTCAGGGGAGGAGGCGGAGAGGAGGTGAGCTGGAGCCGGGCGCGGGGCGGGGAGCTGCCGGTGGGGGCTCTGCACCCACCAAATTCTCCCCCTGGGGCCTCCAGCCCCGGAGCTCCCACGGAGTCGGCGCCTAAGGCGCCACTTTTGATGTGATCAGTGGGGGCAGCGGCCGCTCCCCCTGCTCCCCCCCAAGCTACACTCCCCCGCCTCTAGGAGCCAGAGGGACCTGCCAGATGCTTCCTGGGAGCTGCCCCAGGTAAGCACCACCAGGAGTCCCCACCTCGCCCCCGGCAGGTCCCTCTGGCTCTTAGGGGCGGGGTGGGCACCCACTACGGTGGCCCACGAGACCCTCCTGCCCAGTTCTGGGGGCAGTCAGGGGACAGGGGAGGGGGGTGGATGGGGCAGGAGTCCCTGGGGGCGGGGGTGAGCCACGACACCCTCATGTGGGGAGGAGGGAACCGGTTGTTAAGATTTTGGCAGCTCATCGCTGCAGCCAGGCCAAATCTGAATAAGTGGCACTGTAACCTGGCACATGGGGTCACAACCCCACTCAAATCTGGGGCAGCCGGGCAGGTAACCTGGGTCCCTGAGCAAAATTCTGTCTGGGCCCCAGGAATAATCTGGCTCCCAGTGCTCAGGAGTGCAGTGTGGGGGGCAGAGGCACCAGAGGGAGCATTTCTGAGTGGGAGGGAGGTCATACTGGGATGGCTGCACTGGCTACACCTGTTGCTTATGTAGGACATGGTGTCTCTTCCCGGCTTCTGAAGGTGATATGTCTTTCACGGGCATGTTGTAAAAGCAATCACCAGCTGGTGCTATTCTACATAGTTTTACTAGTTCTAAATGCTGCATTGTTGTTACTTTTATGATGTAGTTTCTATTTTGAGAAGCTGTTGCAAACAGTAGTCAGTTTGCTCCCTGTAACTCACGTAAATTCTTAGAGCAGAATTATGCCCTAGGAACTTGGCATTGGTGTTTTGGCTGAGACTCCTGAAAAGGGGAATTTCCCTGCATGCTGTTTGACTATGTCTGTTCCAGGACTGGCGTTTAGGTATAAATAAAACAGGTTACGCTAAGAAAATAACCAGACTCTGTGTCACAGGTTTGTCTTCCAACAGAAATCCCCTGAAGTCTGCTACTGCCCAGGAAAGAGGCAACAGGCATAATACCCAGGGCTATTTGTAATGTCGTATTTTCTGCAAAAGCCACCTCTTGACACAAAATGTGATCCTGGACTAGGCCTCATGGTTGTGATATAACCTTGAAACTCTGAACTGAGCATTACCCGAGTGAAGCTGTCTGCCTGAGGCTGAAGACTGCCTGAAACAGTAGCTCAGAGCAGTGCCCTGTTTCCTCTCCTCTCAGTGGGGCTTAATTCTGAAACCCAATTCCCCTCCCCTGCCGTCTGATGTGCCAAAAGCCCCAATTGCTCCCCACCTAGCTGTCAAAACCCACAGCTGTCCCCTTAAGACCTGTGCAATGCAATTATGTGCTGTCAGTACAAACATCTGTGCCACATTAAAAACCTCAGAGCCACGTCTCAATGAGTGTGCTACCCACTGGGTGGCAGAGCTAGATCTTTATGCTCTGATCCAATAGATATTTAATTCTCTTTACAAAGTGGAACAGCTCCACCAGGACACATTAAGAAAGCATTACAGAGCCTGACTATAACCCGCTGATTGGACCTACGTTCACGGCTCAGCTCTGAATCAGGAAACTTTCTCTGTTTTTTGTCATGAACAATTTCAAAAGGTCTTGTTGTGTTCATTCTGCATCAAACCTTCACATTTTTGGTGAAATGTAATTCTTGTTTTCCAGCCAGCCCGATTCATTTCAAGACATTCTAACATTTGGGTATTTTAAAAAGATGATGAATTTTTGTAAAATAAGCATTCTCTTGGTTTTTGGTACTAGTCGGGCTCCATTCAAACACTTTCAACCTTTCCTCATCTTTAACTGAGTTTTGGCTTGCAAAAGTAGCTTAAGTGAATCCCCTGGTGCATATATGCTATTACTTTAAAAAAAAAACTGTTAAAATAACATTATGATTGTCAAGTCAAGCTCTCAAAAGTTAGGAAATAACAGAAGTATGGTTTCCTGTGTAGCCTTAATTCTGTTTCCTTGTGTATATGAATTATGATGAGTTTTTAATTACATGATCACATACTATTTCCCCCAACTATTTTAGCTGCAAGCCTGGAGCAAACTCTACTAAGGAAAACACAGATGGGAAACAGCGATTTTGGTAGTTTATAATTTGACCAAATCTGGGTGGATTTTTCTTGGGAAGAGCAAAAGACCCCAAGACTAACTCCCTGTCTAATTTCAAGCTCCTGATGTAAACCATGGAGACATCAGTTCTTTTAAAAAATAGCAAGAACAAAATGTTTATAATGGAAAATGATAAGGAACCTAAAAACCTGGTGTCTGAACTGTGTGACTTTGTCCTCATCCACGACTATTTCACATTTGCAGACAATGTATACCTTCAAATCAGCGGCACTGCCATGGGTACCCGCATGGCCCCACAATATGCCAACATTTTTATGGCTGACTTAGAACAATGCTTCCTCAGCTCTCTTTCCCTAACGCCTCTACTCTACTTGTGCTACATTGATGACATCATCATCTGGACCCATGGAAAAGAAACCCTTGAGGAATTCCACCATGATTTCAACAATTTCCATCCCACCATCAACCTCAGCCTGGACCAATCCACACAAGAGATCTACTTCCTGGACACTATGGTGCTAATAAGCGATGGTCACATAAACACCACCCTATACCGGAAACCTACTGACCGCTATTCCTATCTACATGCCTCCAGCTTTCATCCAGACCACACCACATGATCCATCGTCTACAGCCAAGCTCTAAGATACAACCGCATTTGCTCCAACCCCTCAGACAGAGACAAACACCTACAAGATCTCTATCAAGTATTCCTACAACTACAATACCCACCTGCTGAAGTGAAGAAACAGATTGACAGAGCCAGAAGAGTACCCAGAAGTCACCTACTACAGGACAGGCCCAACAAAGAAAGTAACAGAACGCCACTAGCTGTCATCATCAGCCTCCAACTAAAACCTCTCCAAAGCATCTACAGGGATCTACAACCTATCTTGAAGGATGACACATCACTCTCACAGACCTTGGGAGACAGGCGAGTCCTCGCTTACAGACAGCCCCTCAACCTGAAGCAAATACTCACCAGCAACTACACACCACACAACAAAAACACTAATCCAGGAACCTATCCTTGCAACAAAGCCCGTTGCCAACTCTGTCCACACATGTATTCAAGGGACACCATCATAGGAACTAACCACATCAGCTACACCATCAGGGGCTCGTTCACCTGCACATCTACCAATGTGATATATGCCATCATGTGCCAGCAATGCCCCTCTGCCATGTACGTTGGCCAAACCGGACAAATGGAATAAATGGACACAAATCAGATGTCAAGAATTATAACATTCAAAAACCAGTCGGAGAACACTTCAACCTCCCTGGACACTCAATTACAGACCTAAAAGTGGCAATTCTTCAACAAAAAAACTTCAAAACCAGACTCCAATGAGAAACTGCAGAACTGGCATTAATTTGCAAACTGGACACCATCAAATTGGGCTTGAATAAAGACTGGGAGTGGATGGGTCATTACACAAACTAAAAACTATTTCCCCATGCTAATTTTTCTCCTACTGTTACTCACATCTTCTTGTCAACTGTTTGAAATGGGCCATCCTGATTATCACTACAAAAGTTTTTTTTCTCCTGCTGATAATAGCCCACCTTAATTGATTAGTCTCGTTAGACTTAGTCCTGGTCTACACTATGAGTTTAGGTCGGATTTAGCAGCGTTAGATCTGTTTAGCCCTGCACCCGTCCGCACTACGAAGCCATTTTTTCTGACTTTTAGGGCTCTTAAAACCAGTTTCTGTACTCCTTCCCAATGAGGAGATTAGTGCTGAAATTGAACTCGCTGGGTCAAATTTGGGGTAGTGTGGATGCAATTCAATGGTATTGGCCTCCGGGAGCTATCCCAGAGTGCTCAATTGTGACCACTCTGGACAGCACTCTCAACTCAGATGCACTGACTCGGTAGACAGGAAAAGCCCCGTGAACTTTTGAATTTCATTTCCTGTTTGGCTAGTGTGGTGAGCTCATCAGCAGAGGTGACCATGCAGAGCTCTTCAGCACAGGTGACAATGGAGTCCCAGAATCACAAAAGAGCTCCAGCATGGACCGAAGGGAGGTACTTGATCTGATTGCTGTATGGGGAAACGAATCCATGCTATTAGAACTCCGTTCCAAAAGATGAAATGCCAAAATATTTGAAAAAATCTCCAAGGCATGAAGGACAGAGGCTATCACAGGGACCTGCAGCAGTGCCGTGTGAAACTTAAGGAGCTTAGGCAAGCCTACCAAAAAATCCAAGAGGCAAATGCCCGCTTGGGGTCAGAGCCCCAGACATGCCGCTTCTATGATGAGCTGCATGCAATTCTAGGGGGCACCCCTACCACTGCCCCACCCCTGTACGTGGACTCCTGCAAGGCGGGAGTCTCACGCAATAGGGATGAAGATTTTGGGGATGAGGAAGATGATGAGGAGGGGGAGGTTGAAGATAGTGCACACCAGGCAAGCGGAGAAACCGTTCTCCCCGACAGCCAGGAACTGTTTATCACCTTGGAGCCAATACCCTGCCAACACTCCCAACCCGGGCTCCCGGACCTCGAAGGCAGAGAAGGCAGCTCTGGTGAGTGTATCTTTGTAAATATAATACACGGTTTAAAAGCAAGCATGTTTAATGATTAATTTGCCCTGAAGACTTGGGATGCATTCACGGCCAGTACAACTACTGGAAAAGTCTGTTAATGTGTCTGGGGATGGAGCGGAAATCCTCCAGGGACATCTCAATGAAGCTCTCCTTGATGTACTCCCAAAGCCTTTGCAAAAGGTTTCTGGGGAGGGCAGCCTTATTCCGTCCTCCATGGTAGGTCACTTTACCATGGCAGGCCAGTAGCACGTAGTCTGCAATCATTGCATAACAAAGTATGGCGTATGGTCCCAGTGTTTGCTGACATTCAAGCAACATCTGTTCTTTATCTCTCTGTGTTATCCTCAGGAGAGTGATATCATTCATGGTCACCTGGTTGAAATAGGGGAATTTTATTTAGGGGACATTCAGAGGTGGCTGTTCCTGCTGGGCTGTTTGCCTGTGGCTGAACAGAAATCATCCCTGCTGTTACCCATGCGTTGGGGGGAGGGATAAAGTGATCATCCCAGAGAATTGGGTGTGTGTGTGTGGGGGGGGGGGGGTTAGTTGGGTTTGTGCTGCATGTTAACCCGAAAACCGCAGCCCCTCCTTTTAAATGGCCAATCCAACGGGTGCTTGGTATGGGAAATGGGGGCGCTGCTGTTTGAAACCATTCCCACATGGTAGGAAGGTTAAAGAAGCCAAAAGACTGTGGCTTACCATGGCTGTCTGCAAGCCGAATTCTGTTGCCCACCGGCCCTGCATGTGTGATCTCTCACACTATACCGGCAGGCCCTTGATATAAGAGGCAAAATGCGACCTTGTAAAGAAACCACACGTGCTATGTAATGTTAACAGCTTGGCTCACCATCAAAGAGTCTACCCATTGTTCTCTAAAATGTCTCTTTTTAAAGACTAATCTCCCTTTTTTCCCCCCTGCAGCGGCAAATGTTTCAATGCTCCCCCTATCATCTCCGTCCCAGAGGCTATCAAAGATTAGAAGCCGAAAAAAACGCACTCACAATGAAATGTTCTCTGAACTCATGCAGTCCTCCCATGCTGAAAGAGCCCAGCACAATGCATGGAGGGAGACAATGTCAGAGTCCAGGAAAACACAAAATGAAGGTGAGGAGAGGAGGGACGAGCGAGAGGAGAGGAGGGACGAGTGACAGGAGAGGTGGCAGCATGATGAGAGGAGGCAGGATGCAATGCTGAGGCTACTGGAGAATCAAACTGATATGCTCCAGCGTATGGTTGAGCTACAGGAAAGGCAGCAGGAGCACAGACCGCCACTGCAGCCCCTGTGTAACCAATCGCCCTCCTCCCCAAGTTCCATAGCCTCCTCACTCAGATGCCCAAGAATGCGGTGGGGGGACCTCCTGGCACCCAACCACTCCACCCCAGAGGACTATCCAAGCAACAGAAAGCTGGCATTCAATAAGTTTTGAAAAGCAGTGTGGCCTTGTCCTTCCATCCTCCCCTCCTTCTCCAACCCACCCAGTGCTTCCCTCCTCCCCCACCCCTCCCGGGCTACGTTGGCAGTTATCCCCCCATTTGTGTGACAAATTAATAAAGAATGCATGATTTTGAAACAACAATGACTTTATTGCCTCTGCAAGCAGTGATCAAAGGGAGGAGGGGAGGGCGGTTTGCTTACAGGGAAGTAGAGTGAACCATGGGGGTGGGTTTTCATCAAGAAACAAACAGAACTGTCACACCGTAGCCTGGCCAGTCATGAAACTGGTTTTCAAAGCTTCTCTGATGCGCCGTGCGCCCTGCTGTGCTCTTCTAACTGCCCTGGTGTCTGGCTGTGCATAATCAGCGGCCAGGCGATTTGCCTCAACTTCCCACCCCGCCATAAATGTCTCCCCCTTACTGTCACAGATATTGTGGAGCACACAGCAAGCAGTAATAACAAGGGGAATATTGGTTTCGCTGAGGTCTAACTGAGTCAGTCAACTGCACCAGCGTGCTTTTAAAAGTCCAGATGCACATTCTACCACCATTCTGCACTTGCTCAGCCTATAGTTGAACAGCTCCTGACTACTGTCCAGGGTGCCTGTGTTCATAAGCCATGGCATTAAGGGGTAAGCTGGGTCCCCAAGGATAACTATTGGCATTTCAACATCCCCAATGGTTATTTTCTGGTCTGGAAAGTAAGTCCCTTGCTGCAGCCGTTCTCACAGACCAGAGTTCCTGAAGATGTGAGTGTCATGTACCTTTCCTGGCCTTCCCATGTTGATGTTGTTGAAATGTCCCTTGTGATCCACCAGTGCTTGCAGCACCATTGAAAAGTACCCCTTTTGGTTTATGTACTGGCTGCCTTGGTGGTCTGGTCCCAAGATAGGGATACGCGTTCCGTCTATCGTCCCACCACAGTTAGGGAATCCCATTGCAGCAAAGCCATCCACTATGACTCACACATTTCCCAGAGTCACTATCCTTGATAGCAGCAGCTCAGTGATTGCGTTGGCTACTTGGATCACAGCAGCCCCCACAGTAGATTTGCCCACTCCAAATTGATTCCCGACTGACTGGTAGCTGTCTGGCATTGCTAGGTTTCAGAGGGCTCTCACCACTCGCTTGTGAATTGTGATGGCTGCTCTCATCTTGATATTCTGGAGCTTCGGGGCAGGGGAAAGCAAGTCACAAAGTTCCAGGAAAGTGCCCTTACGCATATGAAAGTTTTGCAGCCATTGGGAATCGTCCCAGACCTGCAACACGATGCGGTCCCACCAGTCTGTGCTTGTTTCCTGGGCCCAGAATCGGCACTCCATGGCATGAGCCTGCCCCATTGCCACCAGGATGGCCAAATTGCCGGGGCTCGTACTTTGAGAGAAGTCTGTGTCCATGACAGTGCTGCTGGCTGGGAGAGCAGCCTGAGGCAGAACAGCCCCCTCAAGGATTGAACTCACAACCCTGGGTTTAGCAGGCCAATTTCAAACCACTGAGCTATCTCTCTCCCAATATTCCATGCAGGACTGAATCTCTATTAGACAAAACTTAAAGAAGAGAATAACCTGAGTCACTCCCATTTATGTGCAGGCACTCCTGACAGACTTTACCAAGGTCCACCAGGAGCACCCATATCTGACCAGGCGCCCCTGACAGACCTTACCGAGGTTCGCCAGGAGCACCCCTGTCTGCCCAGGTGCCTCAACCGACCTGACCAAGAGCACCCAGGAGATGACGAGGACGGCTACTAGTCATACTGCACTATCTGCTGCCACAAGGCAATGAGCTGCTGCTGTACAGCAATGCAGTCCCATGTCTGCCAGCACCCAGGAGACGTACGGTGACGGTGAGCTGAGCGGGCTCCATGCTTGCCGTGGTATGGCGTCTGCACGGTTAACCCAGGAAAAAAGGCACAAAATGATTGTCTGCCATTGCTTTTGTGGAGGGAGGGAGGGATGGGGGGCCTGACGACATATACCCAGAACCACCCGCGACAATGTTTTTTGCCCCATCAGGCATTGGGATCTCAACCCAGAATTCCAGTGGGTGGTGGAGACTGTGGGAACTGTGGGATAGCTACCCACAGTGCAACGCTCTGGAAGTCAATGCTAGCCTCGGTACTGTGCACCCACTCCGCCGACTTCATGGTCTTAATGGTTTTAAGTGGGATCACACACAATCGACTGTATAAAATTGCTTTTTAAAAATCTACTTCTATAAATTCGACCTAATTTCATAGTGTAGACAAACCCTAAATACCTGAAACCTAAATACAGGAGTCACTGCCATTCCAGCAGTGACCATTCAGGACTCCCTCCCAGAGGCTACTGAGGACTGAAGGCAGAGTTATGCAAATGAAGTGCTAGCCCTGATTATGTTCGCTGTGTGCCTGTGCAGACAGGTCCTCACCAGAGCAGAAATGTGAACAATGTTCAGCAGCATAAATTAATCTCTGTCCCTCCAATGTGGGGGGCAGAGGTGGAGCCTGGGCTTGGTCAGGGCCCAGTACAATCAAAGCAGGCGCACTACAGCAGTGCTGACCTTTGACCAATGACCTGATCTTTAAAGGGGCTATTTGGAATTGAAGCACAGGTTAAATGCCAAAATGCTTAATATGAGCATTTAAAGCTGTAACAAAAGTAGGTGGCCACTTTAATATACATTTATGTTTTGGACAGGCTTTGCAATAAGTTTGGTTAAGGCTTAGCAAGGTCTAGCAGTTAAGCAATGAGAGTTAGCATAAGAATTTCACTAAGGTTATAAGGATTTCTGCAACATGTATCTTGTGATAAACAAGCAAATCACAAAGAACAGTTTATGTTTGCAAACAAATGTCTCGGGGATTCTTAGGCAAATGTACTCAAGAGGGCTAACCACATTCATGTGTTGAAAGAAGAACAGGAGGACTTGTGGAACCTTAGAGATGAACAAAATTTATTTGAGCACAAACTTTTGTGGGCTACAGCCCACTTCATCGGATGCATAGAATGGAACATATAGTAAGAAGATACATATATATACAGAGAACATGAAACGGTGGAAGTAGCCATACCAACTGTAAGAGGCTAATTAATTAAGACGAGCTATTATAAGCAGGAGAAAAAAACTTTTGTAGCGACTTACCTAGCTGTGAGAATGGCAGTGAGTCGACCGCTGCCGCTCCCCCATTGACTCTGCTTCCGTCTCTTGTGAGCTGGAGTTCCAGAGTCGATGGGGAACACATTCAGGGATCGATTTATCGTGTCTAAACGAGACACGATAAATCGATCCCCGATACAAGTAAACTCTGTTCTGTTGCACAAAAAGGAGAAGGAAAGAAACCTGCATCTTCTGGATTCCTACTTTTCCGGTATCAACTTTAAAGTATCACCATCACAGAGCTGTTGAAACTGTTTTTACATTTCTGCATTTCCTTTTCACATGTTGATGATTTATTAAGTGACAATTAATTTGGGGATGTTACTACTTGTTCCCCATCTTCTCAGGACTTATCACCATGAAAAAAAGAATAGGAGCAGTGAGATTGGAAAGGTGGCAGAGAAGTACTTTCAGTAAGTAAACTCCATGTTGGAGTTTGTTACAGCATACTTAAAAATGGGCACAAATGTGCTTCATAGGAATCATAGAATATCAGGGTTGGAAGGGACCCCAGAAGGTCATCTAGTCCAACCCCCTGCTCGAAGCAGGACCAATTCCCAGTTAAATCATCCCAGCCAGGGCTTTGTCAAGCCTGACCTTAAAAACCTCTAAGGAAGGAGGTTCTACCACCTCCCTAGGTAACGCATTCCAGTGTTTCACCACCCTCTTAGTGAAAAAGTTTTTCCTAATATCCAATCTAAACCTCCCCCACTGCAGCTTGAGACCATTACTCCTCGTTCTGTCATCTGATACCATTGAGAACAGTCTAGAGCCATCCTCTTTGGAACCCCCTTTCAGGTAGTTGAAAGCAGCTATCAAATCCCCCCTCATTCTTCTCTTCTGCAGGCTAAACAATCCCAGCTCCCTCAGCCTCTCCTCATAACTCATGTGTTCCAGACCCCTAATCATTTTTGTTGCCCTTCGCTGGACTCTCTCCAATTTATCCACATCCTTCTTGAAGTGTGGGGCCCAAAACTGGACACAGTACTCCAGATGAGGCCTCACCAATGTCGAATAGAGGGGAACGATCACGTCCCTCGATCTGCTCGCTATGCCCCTACTTATACATCCCAAAATGCCATTGGCCTTCTTGGCAACAAGGGCACACTGCTGACTCATATCCAGCTTCTCGTCCACTGTCACCCCTAGGTCCTTTTCCGCAGAACTGCTGCCTAGCCATTCGGTCCCTAGTCTGTAGCTGTGCATTGGGTTCTTCTGTCCTAAGTGCAGGACCCTGCACTTTTCCTTATTGAACCTCATCAGATTTCTTTTGGCCCAATCCTCCAATTTGTCTAGGTCCCTCTGTATCCTATCCCTGCCCTCCAGCGTATCTACCACTCCTCCCAGTTTAGTATCATCCGCAAACTTGCTGAGAGTGCAATCCACACCATCCTCCAGATCATTTATGAAGATATTGAACAAAACCGGCCCCAGGACCGACCCTTGGGGCACTCCACTTGATACCGGCTGCCAACTAGACATGGAGCCATTGATAACTACCCGTTGAGCCCGACAATCTAGCCAGCTTTCTACCCACCTTATGGTGCATTCTTCCAGCCCATACTTCCTTAACTTGCTGACAAGAATACTGTGGGAGACCGTGTCAAAAGCTTTGCTAAAGTCAAGAAACAATACATCCACTGCTTTCCCTTCATCCACAGAACCAGTAATCTCATCATAAAAGGCGATTAGATTAGTCAGGCATGACCTTCCCTTGGTGAATCCATGCTGGCTGTTCCTGATCACTTTCCTCTCATGCAAGTGCTTCAGGATTGATTCTTTGAGGACCTGCTCCATGATTTTTCCAGGGACTGAGGTGAGGCTGACTGGCCTGTAGTTCCCAGGATCCTCCTTCTTCCCTTTTTTAAAGATGGGCACTACGTTAGCCTTTTTCCAGTCATCCGGGACTTCCCCCGTTCGCCACGAGTTTTCAAAGATAATGGCCAATGGCTCTGCAATCACAGCCGCCAATTCCTTCAGCACTCTCGGATGCAACTCGTCCGGCCCCATGGACTTGTGCACGTCCAGCTTTTCTAAATAGTCCCTAACCACCTCTATCTCCACAGAGGGCTGGCCATCTCTTCCCCATTTTGCGATGCCCAGCGCAGCAGTCTGGGAGCTGACCTTGTTAGTGAAAACAGAGGCAAGAAAAGCATTGAGTACATTCGCTTTTTCCACATCCTCTGTCACTAGGTTGCCTCCCTCATTCAGTAAGGGGCCCACACTTTCCTTGGCTTTCTTCTTGTTGCCAACATACCTGAAGAAACCCTTCTTGTTACTCTTGACATCTCTGGCTAGCTGCAGCTCTAGGTGCGATTTGGCCCTCCTGATATCATTCCTACATGCTCGAGCAATATTTTTATACTCTTCCCTGGTCATATGTCCAACCTTCCACTTCTTGTAAGCCTCTTTTTTATGTTTAAGATCCGCTAGGATTTCACCATTAAGCCAAGCTGGTCGCCTGCCATATTTACTATTCTTTCGACTCATCGGGATGGTTTGTCCCTGTAACCTCCACAGGGATTCCTTGAAATACAGCCAGCTCTCCTGGACTCCTTTCCCCTTCAAGTTAGTCCCCCAGGGGATCCTGGCCATCCGTTCCCTGAGGGAGTTGAAGTCTGCTTTCCTGAAGTCCAGGGTTCGTATCCTGCTGCTTACCTTTCTTCCCTGCGTCAGGATCCTGAACTCAACCAACTCATGGTCACTGCCTCCCAGATTCCCATCCACTTTTGCTTCCCCCACTAATTCTACCCGGTTTGTGAGCTTCTGATAAGTCATGCCTGAATTAATATAAATATATATATTACAATGTCAATGCATGCAAATGTGCAACCTACTGATCCTTGGTTAGAGGATGGTTTCAGGATCTGAGTGTCTCCCTCTATCCGGCTTTGTATAGAGGATGGGTTGGCTCCTGTAAATACATTTGCTCAGCACAATTTAATAAAAGTGACTTTTTATTCTTAAAGTAAGAGAATTGTTCTTACCTAGAAGTAATGAGGGGTAGAATCAGCATTTTTAACATCCTCATAAGGAGCTCTCCAGGAAAAGAAAAGTATTGCTTCTCCTGTGTAAAGAACAAAGATTGATCAGGCAGGAGAATCAGCTGGCAAGATGTAAATAATGGAAATATACACATTGTTCAAAGATAGAAAAATTACAGATTCTCATTCTTGCAACAGATCCCTAATTCCAACTTTGTATCTTTTTAAAAATCTGTTCTCTCCCCCCCACCCCCATTGTCCAGAAATGAATCTTTTGGGCTTATCTGGTTTTATGCTATATAGGGGAAATGTACGGGGACTGGCAATATGGACAACAAATAGAGTGTAATAAAATGAAGGCAAAGATGGAAAAGGATGTTAGACTACTGCACTTGAAGGAGTCATTGGAAGTACACTGTCCCCATGGTCCTGTAGCAATAATCAGAATCACTTTCTCAACAACTATTAGTAATATTAATTCCTGGACATTGTTGGTTATAGATGTAAGCAGGGTCTGAATGAATTCTTCCTTGACATCTAGCTGAGAGGGGGAGAGACTTCAAGAACAAACTGTATTTACATGTTTCAGAGTAGCAACCATGTTAGTCTGTATCCACAAAAAGAAAAGGAGGACTTGTGGCACCTTATAGACTAACAAATTTATTTGAGCATAAGCTTTTGTGAACTACAGCTCACTTCATTGGACGCATGAACATGAACACACCTACTCCGCTGAGATATCCAGCAGATAGAGTGGTGTAATCAACTTTGTTTGGTGTTGGCTTACAAATCACTTTAGTACTGAATGCAGGGGTAGTGAAATGCCGTTACCAGTGTTATTATTGTATGGATAAAGGGGAGTAGAACTGTGCTTAAGGTGTCCCAAATGAGGGGGGTCACCCTCAGCTGAAAGGACCTCATTAAGCCAGGGGCTCGAATGCCAGAGCCCTGGGAAGGTAAGAAGGGTGGGGACAGGTATCCTAGCTAAAAGGATTGTACACCCTCCCCAAGGGTTCCCCTGGTCTGGTTTAACCTGTTCCTTCCCACTGTTCAAAGAAAGAGCTAAATAGGCTTCATGAGGAGCCTCTTTTGTTATTTTAAATGCTCCATCACTGAGAGCTGAAATCAGTTGAGATGGGGCAGTGTCTCTGCCCAGCCTTCAAAGAGCTGAAAATCACTAAGAGAGGGATGTGCAGAGGTCACAGCAGAGAGGCAGGTGGTAGCAGAAGGCGACTAACAGTGGGCTGGGGAATGAGTGGCTGGAGAGGTGGTGAGAAGAACGAGCAGCTAGTTAGGTTGCTGCTGGCTCCACCTGGCAGAAGGGTTACATGCTCTCAAGAAGTTGGGCCTTATTTGCATATGTAAAACAGGCAATTGCAAGTGACATCAAGTGCAATTGGGTGCAACCTTTTCACTAGTTGCCCAATGCACAAAATAAATTGTAGATCCACATGAGGGAGCAAAAGTAATCTGGTAAGCATATTGGTCTGGTCATCTATGTATTCAAAACTTTGAGACGCAACATAGGTGTCAGTCAGTGTTCTGGGTACCAACCCCATGCATTAAAAATCATAACATGAACGTGACTAAAGGACTGCCTGTAAATAGATCTGCCTAAGTGCCCCTCCCCCAGCATCCTTAATGAAGGAGGGACTATGGGCTTTGCAGCATGCCTGGAAGAGTAACAAAACTGGGATCTGGTAGACAAAGGCAGGGAGCAAGTTCCAAAACCAAGAACCCTGCACGGATGACATCCTGCCAGTGGCCACCTCTCCCGTGTATCGAGGGCGTTCCAGTGCCTCTGGTGACTCAACTGTGGCAGTGTCCTGGGGAGAAAGGCAGTTTCTCGGGTAATCAGCTTCCATTTAGGGTTTTATAGGTTAAAATCAACACCTTTAATTCTACTCTGAAGCTTATTGCACACCAGTGAATATCGCGGGGCACTGGTCTTATGAGTTCCCAGCATGCAATTCCACTTGAGTGGGCTGCAGCATTTTTCACTAGCTTCAGTTTCTGAATAGTTCCAAGGAAAAGCCCCATGTACAGCATTTTACAGCAATCTAATTTTGAGATGACAAAGATCGGGATAACTGTGGCATGGTCACTATTGGAGAAAAGGTCACACTCGTCTTACCAGGTGCAGATGAAGTGCTCTTCGCGATGGCCATTAGTGTCCTGCAGGTGCAACTCAGGATCTAACACATAGAATCATCATAGAATCATCGAATATCAGGGTTGGAAGGGACCTCAGGAGGTCATCTAGTCCCACCCCCTGCTCAAAGCAGGACCAATCCCCAATTAAATCATCCCAGCCAGGGCTTATTTAAGCACCTCTTCACATTTTAATCTAGGTGACAAACCGTGACACTAAACTGAATCACTGGGTTTATGTGTCTGAAGGCTGATGGAAAAGCTCGGTGTTCTGGTCTAATGCTATGTTCTCTTTTGGGTAAAAATAAATAAAATCCAAACAAAGCAGAAACATCTTGTTCTGGCATTTTTGAAATAGAACAGTGACGTTTAGACTTGAAATAACTTTTCATTTAGAATTTTACTTTGATTTTTCATTTAGTTGCTTTAAAAAGCCAAAAAAAAAAAAAAAAAAAGCACAACCCTTGAGAATGAAACAAAGCATTTGGTTTAACCCAAAACATTTTTTCCTCAATTTTTTGTTTTGCCTCCAAACCAAAAAAGTTGATTATTTGCACAGCTCTACCCTGGAAATAGAGGTGCCTAAGGCAGGCCAGGCCTTTCTCACAAAAAATGGGGGGAGAGGTTCCCCCTGCACTCAATAGCCTAGTGATTAAAGCATTTACCTGGTACGTAGGAGGCCCAGGTTCAAATTCCTACTCTGCCTGACTTATAGCAGGGAATTAAATGCAGGTCCCCCACCTCCCAGGTGAGTGTCCTACTCACTGGGCATTTTGGGCCTGGGCCTCTCTCAATCGCTCCTGTTAGAACTGTTCCACTTTGCATCAAATACTTGAATCATAGAAGATTAGGGTTGGAAGAGACCTCAGGAGGTATCTAGTCCAATCCCCTGCTCAAAGCAGGACCAACACCAAATAAATCATCCCAGCCAGGGCTTTGTCAAGCCTGCCCTTAAAAACCTCTAAGGAAGGAGATTCCACCACCTCCCTAAGTAACCCATTCCAGTGCTTCACCACCCTCCTAGTGAAATAGTGTTTCCTAATATCCAACCTAGACCTCCCCCACTGCAACTTGAGACCATTACTCCTTGTTCTATCATCTGCCACCACTGAGAACAGCCAAGCTCCATCCTCTTTGGAACCCCCTTTCAAGTAGTTGAAAGCAGCTATCAAATTCCCCCCCATTCTTCTCTTCTAAATAATCCCAGTTTCCTCAGCCTCTCCTCATAATTCAAATGTTCCAGCCCCCTAATCATTTTTGTTGCCCTTCACTGGACTCTTTCCAATTTTTCCACATCCTTCTTGTAGTGTGGGGCCCAAAACTGGAGACTATACTCCAAATGAGGCCTCACCAATGCGGAATAGAGGGGAATGATCACGTCCCTCAATCTGCTGACAATGCTCCTACTAATGCAGCCCAAAATGCCATTGGCCTTCTTGGCAACAAGGGCACACTGTTGACTCATATCCAGCTTCTCATCCACTGTAACCCCTAGGTTCTTTTCTGCAGAACTGCTGCCTAGCCACTTGGTCCCTAGCCTGTAGCGGTGCATGGGATTCTTCCATCCTAAGTGCAGGACTCTGCACTTGTCCTTGTTGAAACTCATCAGGTATTTTTTGGCCCAATCCTCTAATTTGTCTAGGTCCCTCTGTATCCTATCCCTACCCTCCAGCGTATCTACCACTCCTCCCAGTTTAGTTTAGCGTCATCTGCAAACTTGCTGAGGGTGCAATCCATGCCATCCTCCAGATTATTAATGATTATTAATGCTCAGTCACTTCAGTTATACATTTGACCTACTAGCTTTATGGCTTCAGCCTTAAATTTCTCTTTTCATTTTAGTTTTTGTTACACTAAAGTGCAGGGAACAAACAATAACTAATGTATATTTGCTGAGGATTTCTGGAACAATGTAAGTCATAAGATATTTTTGCAGCAGTACAGAAAAAGAATTAAATCACTAGGCCAATTTTACCCCTGGTGTAATTTCACTGGAGTCAGTGGAATTACAACAGATTAATTATACCCCTAGCTTTCGAAGTGCAACAATATGCTATACCTTTCAATACCTCACTATATACAATACAGTATAGCATACCTTCCAATACCCCACTGTACACAATATGCCAAAACTTTCCAGCCCACCACTGTCTACACTACAGCATACCTTCTAATACCCCACTCTGTATGCAGTATTTTCAGAGCTTGTAATTTATAAGCCCCTATTAGGTATCCACATATTGTAAGAGAAATAATATTGAAGTATGTATCCATGTAACATGCAGCCACAGCAGTCATGGGTGCAATAAGGTGACACTCAGGATCACTGCACGGCTGTTGTGTATTTGCACCTGGTGGGAGACAGCAGCTAACAACACTTTGTCCTTATCGTTTCTTGGCAAACGCTTTGCAGTGGAAACATTGCCATCAATGCTACTTTCTGTATTTCCAATGTGAGCATGAAGTGGCTCTCTTGTTGCATAGCAAGCCCACCACAATGTTACTCTGGGAATAGGGCGAATACGCTGTAGCCCTACAGCAAACCAATTGAATGAGTTTCAGAGGAACAGCCGTGTTAGTCTGTATTCGCAAAAAGAAAAGGAGTACTTGTGGCACCTTAGAGACTAACCAATTTATTTGAGCATGAGCTTTCGTGAGCTACAGTTCACTTCATCAATTGAATGAGGTGTGTCATAAATAAAAAGGGAAGGGTCACCACCTTTCTGTGTACAGTGCTATAAAATCCCTCCTGGCCAAAAGCAACATCTTGTTACCTGTAAAGGGTTAAGAAGCTCAGCTAACCTGGCTGGCACCTGACCCAAAGGACCAATAAGGGAACAAGATACTTTCAAATCTTGAGGGGGGAAAGGCTTTTGTTTGTGCTCTTTGTTTACATGGTTGTTCTCTCTTGGGACTGAGAGAGGCCAGACAG